TCGCTTATTAATACACCTAACAAAAACTACTTTTGCGTCCCAGTTAGTGTTTGACCGATTTTAGTAATTCTTAGAACTGATTTAAATGGGGCAATGTGTGTAGCTGGTGGACAAGATGTTAAGAACTAACTTATGAGTTCGTTGTACAGGCTCCTCTCGATTATCGTCTGACTTGTTCTACGCGATTATTGTCCAGGCGTTATCCCCACCACTGAGGAGGAGGGGCGTGGAACGTGTTAAGCGCATACTTTGTTGCCCCTCCACTTTTGTTGCTGAGGCTCGGGCTTCGGGCAAAAAAACGGATTCACGATAGTCTGAAGCATTTCTCCTTATATGATTACTGTCACAGCGCGGACCCGAAGTCGGGACGATAATTGAGTGGAGTCTGTATCTTGTTCACCAAATATAATTTTAAAAGTGCTTTGCGTAACACTGATCGAAGTATCAGTTTGCTTCGGTCCTTCGTTGACCGCTGGACCTAAACCTTTTTTTGTGGTCCTCTTCGTTTATTGCCTCCCTGTGTATATCGTTACCTTCATGTGTACGTAATCGAATTTTGATACTTCGAAGTGTTTCTTTGTGTCGTTGACGTCGTAAACGACGGTTCTTTAGTAACGTAATTCTGATTTTAGTCGACATGCAGAGCGTAGTGTCACGTTTAATATAATTTTACGAAGATGTTTCCCCAGCATTCTTCCTAACCTCAACAGGCTTTACTAACTGCGTTTTAAGGATCTCGAGCATTATCCTCGTCAGTATTTATTTTCTCTGTTGTCTTTTTTTAATTACCTTTATTAGACGCACGAGTAAGTAAAACATTATTCTGTCACGTTCGGTTCAATTCTATGGAGAATCGAGAGCCTGTGTTGTATTTCAACAACACAATTTGCCCTGCGTCTACAACACCTGGCCGCCATCTTTCAAAAAGAAAATGGCGGGAGAAAGATTCGAATCTACCACTAGGCCATACCAATTTATTTAAAACAAAAGAAATAGTAGATTACTTATCGGTAGACCTAATAACACTTTGCTCTTCCTTTCTCAGTGCTTTTTATCGTTTCACTGCATCGACTCTTTATATAAGATGGCGGACGGGTCACCCTATCAAACGTATCTTCGAAGCAGCGTGCAGAGATAATTGTTTACATGAATGTCATTTAGCCTTAGTTTCGCTAGTTGGAAAAGAAGAACGAATGTTTAGAACCTTGCTCAATAAATAAAACGTTAATTTCGATGTCACGAATTGTATACCGATGTTAATTTAAGCTCGACTCCCAAAACGACGACGACGTCGATCATTTTTGGCGAACAGAATCGAATGGACAACCGTGTATGTTGCCCCTGAAGCGAGAACAACAGATTTTCGTGTGTTCTCGTTACCGAATAGCTAAACGAATCATTAGCTGACCGATTCGTCGTTGATGTTCCATACCAAGCTCATCGAATTCGTTTCCGGCCTTAACCTCGCACATTCTCTTTCCACGGTTGTTATTCCCCCGAACAAACTCTCGGAACGGTGTTTGTCCTTGCGTGGGTGTCCAAAAGAATAACTGCATCTTCGACTCGCGGTCGATTTTCACGTCGATCGTCGGACGCTATTCCCGACAGAACGATCGAAAATTCGATCGCTGATGACCGAACGATTATCGCGAGAGATTCGACACACACACAGGACCACGTTTTTGTTTTTTTTTTCTGTGAAAAGTAGAGATAAGACCCTGAGCTTAATATGTACTCTCTCGTGAAACCGTGTATAAAACTCCTGTTTGTACCTTACTAGTTTACTATGACGCTATTCTAGATTTACATATAGAGGAATTCAAAGTGATAGAAATATGTCAGGCGGTCGAAAACGCGAGAGAGAGAGAGAAAGAGAGAATGAAAGAAAGAAAGAGAGAGAGAGAGAGAAAGAACGCACGCGAGCGAGTGAGAGAAGCAGAAGAGAGACAAAGAGATTAGGGATGTTTACTGTCCATTCAAAAAAAAAAAAAAAAGTCACGTTGAGTCCTTTATTTTTTCGCTACAAAGCGACGGAAAGATTAGTGTTAGTGTCATTAGCAAAAACCAGAAGATGCGTATTAATATCATCGTGCTTTTGCTTCGAGAACGTTTCGTAACTTTGATTGAAATTGTTTTCATGGCGTGTGTCTCTCCCACACGTGAAACATGCCGCTCTGTGAAAGACTATATAATATATCAGCAAGGCTGGTGATTTAGATTTCGGTTAGTCTCACTTTTTTATGTTAAGCATGACAACGGTTTAGCAGATGTGTTTTACTGAAAGTGTCCTTCCTATGTAAATTTACTTGTTTGTCCTCGTAAATTATAAATAAATGATATCTTTCGTGTTCACGTACGCACACACCACAGTTCTTTTCTTCACACACAGAGAACGTAACGCATCATCGAGAAGGTAAGTGAACAATTTTCATTTGTGGCGCTATCTATAATACAACGGTCAAGCTGTTAGCCAATTAGTACGGCTATCAATGATCCAACAAACAGATGGCGCTTGAATATCATTTTAAACGTCCTTCAAAAAAAATTGATTTTGTAAACAGTGTATCAAACAACAATATCAACATAGAAAACTTCAATAAACAGTTTAACACAACCATAGCACCTTATTAATTCAGCGAGATTACACCATCATTGTTTATCATTTCTATATTTAAAATACATCACTTTCATCATTTTTTAGTTTAGGTAATAAAGTAGGACTTTGATTTCAGAATATTCTTTCGTTCATACTCTTTTTCTTATTAGTACATTTTGTACACTTTTATATACAATGATAGTTACAATAAGAAACGTAATTGTTTAAATAACTGATTATATTATGATCCTTAAACATTTAATAATCATCGCATTAAATTACGTGAATCGCTTTGAATATTGCCATAGTTATTGCCGTTTAATAATTTGATAATCAAAAACTGTAGAATATTCGAAAACACGATTCACTTCTGACAATGTATAGAATATAGAGTAGTATTCAGTATATAAAATAAGATAGTCACGAAGATTGTATTGGAATCTTAATAAACATTAAGGCAAACGTGGAAAAATGTAGTTCGCTGCAACATGGAAATATACAAATATTTATGTAAATATCATATACAAAATGTTCTACATGGCAGCGATGTGATTGAAATCAGATAAATCTGAATTAGGATAACTTCTATACAAAGTGAATAAACTGCATATATACATATACTATTACCAGAATACAATCAAAACTACATCAATATTATCAATAAAATTAGATGCAGTTAAATATTACTATGTATTGTACAACCTTACATATACACTCGGTTGAATATTTCGTGTCAAATCATTTGTATGCATAATTTGATATAGCTACTGAATTGTAGAACATAATACAATAGTAACTTAAATATTTCATCAGAATTACTCCAATGTCAAGTACATATGACAAAAACTCATAATGTTGATCTATAGGTATTCAAGATGTTACATTAAAATTAATAAATTTTCAAAAAATGAAATTTCGTATTTTGATATTTCTTTAAATTGCTTTTGCTTTCATCATATAATATCTGTAGTAAACAGACAAAAAAACTGTATGATAATTGAAGAAATCAACACTATGATTCTCTTAAATTCTCTTATATCAAAATGACCACTAATATATTTCTATGTTTACTATAAAATCTATTTGTCCTGTATAAGCGTATTCTTCTCAATTTAACAGAATAGATTTGCTGTAATATTACAGTAATATGTAAAATAAATTATACAATGAAAAGAACAATCACTTATACGTAACAAATAACAAGCATTAATATAAGCGCCATGTTTTCACAATACTTTTATCTTTGGCATTTACACTATGAAACCTAAAAGAATAGCTGTAAACTGCCTGTATACATAATAACTTAATAATTTAAGGAATAGAAGCTATAAGAATGATACTAATGCAAGTTTTGTACTAGTGAATATGTAATTTTTTTAAGTCATAATTATTAATTAGTAGTCTGCGGATTTTATACATTTATTGCATTTATGTAATTAGGTGAGAACTTTAACAAGGAGTAATGTTACTTTCATATTATTCATAACTTAACAAACCTCTCAATTGATGAAGTAAATTGTTCACTGATACATACTATCATTAATCTACGAAAATAAGACTGCATAAAAATCCGCAGTCTAATGATTAGGTTGCATACTGATTGTTATTTCATTAATCATATACTTAACAATGTAAATTCGTTGGAATTCTAAAACGTAATGAATTTGCAAATGTGGCTTACAAATTATAAAACAGGTTATAAACTTTTATTAATAACCATTAACATTGTGAGGCAATTCACTAGTGAACATACTAGATTTTTCGAAATAATTTTACCTCGGAAAATTCTGAATTCACAGGTAAACATGGTTAACCTTAAGTGCAAAAGTTAATCTTAAATTGTTCCAATCCTCATAACGAAGATTACAGTATACAACATCCTTTGTTTATCGCGTAATATGACAACACATCACATCAAATATTATAGAAATGTGTTTAAATGGTCTTTTTACAGAGTAAGACAAAAACCAAAAACCATTCTGTTTAGTCCATTCAAAATTACATTACATATATACATACAGACGTTGAAAGCAACAAGTATAAATAATGTATACACATTTACTAAAGAAAAGACGTGACCTAATGACAACTTAGTATTACTAATCAATTGTGAGAAAACAAAAATTAACAATCCTATTGATTATTGACAAATCTTCTGAAGACATTCTATCAAAAAAAGAGAGAATGTTCTTACTTATTAATAATATAGATAGAACCATACCTATCCCTGAATCATACTTTGATATTAAAACGTTATGAACGTTGTTATTAATACTTGATTAATATCAGTGGAATTTTCTACTTACTACCCACTTTATTGTTGCTGTCTCGAGACTAGAGCCCGAAACATTCCACAAAGGAGGTAGGTGTTCTAAAAATTATTCGCTGTAATGATAAGCGGCGAAAGCAGTTCATAAATAATACTGAAACTTGCTCTCAGTAATTTTAAGAACTTGCGGGAATAATTTCATGACGTTAAAGAGGACACATCCCCGAATATTCATGTGGGTGGTATTATTAATGATTGTTTGCAATATCATAGTGAAGTAGATTCAGCATTCAGTCCTGTTAACATATAATAGTGCTGTTGTAAACGCTTCAGATTGGCTGATAAACATGCATTTTCTATGTACAAATCTTTTACTAATAGGTCAGTCCGTGCCAATCGTTCGGCCTGCAAAAGAATAGCACAGAAACATCATACACGATTATTTCTAAATAATTATTCATTTAAATGCATAATATGATGCTTCAAAAATAACATACCTGTTCTGCACTTGTTTGAAATTCTATTTGAAGCCGTCCTTGAGTAGTACGAAGTAAATACTGTAATTCTGTAACTTCTAATTGATGCTGAGATATAATATCTAAAACAATATCAGTGTTGAAGTAAACGATTTTAAAAACGGTTGCTTTAGAATAGTTTTGATTGCAAAACGATTTTGTAAATAAACATCTTTTAAATATGTAAACTACTTATACTACATTCTTTGAAGACAAAATGAATGACAAAAAACTTACTTTGTAGTACACGTTCAATTTGGTATTGTTGTTGCTTAAAAAATTCTTGTAACTGAAGTTTCTTATGTTCTTGCTCCTGAAGTTTCATACTTAAACTCTGTACTATATTTACATTTACGCAACACACTTGCGACTCTGCATCGTTCCTCATGCACTGACAATTCGATGATTTTAAGTTTTCTAATTTAAATGTATCTTGCATTAAGTCAAACTCTGTGTTACTCGTACATTCTTGTTTCGTAAACTTTCCACTGACATTCGACCCCTTCCACTGAGGCCCTGATCTTTCAATCCTGCACATACTATTTACATCTGCCATAGAATATTGTGTATACATTTGATTCATACTACAATCACTAATGCCCGTGTTTTCTTTTTTTACATGTGCAATGAAGTCACTTGCTAAGGCTGAAGACTCTAGAATTCGATTGAATTTAAATTCTTCTGGTAGTTTACGAATATTATCGCTGCATTGGGTGAACTTGGATGTAGCTTCACTGGACGGTTGATTATTAAACGAATTATTAGGAACATAATTTGAGTGCATTAATGCCGAGAAGGAAATAAAATCGTCTGCCACTTGAACAGATATATCAGTCATTGTCGGTCGTTTCAACGATGTCAATTCACGCAAATCTTCAATTTCTTTGTCCTTCTGGGATTTTTCTTCTTCCGTCTGCGCTCTCCATTTCTCAAATTCTTCTACAAGATCTAAATACTGCAATAAAAAAAATAAAACATATTCTTGTACCTTCTAAAATATACAATAGATTAAGCTACTAAAAAACACGTTGCGATATACAAAGTTTTCCAACTACCAAAATTAGAAAAGGCTCGCTTTTTATACGTTATATACATGATTTTTTCAAAAGAAATTTTTAAAATGAAAATTACTTTGTTAAGACCATTGTTCATGATTCTCGCAATGCAAGGAAATACGTTAGATTTAAAAAAAAGATTAGCTAGAATACCTTGTATAATGAAAAAGTATTTTACAATTCTATATAATAATATAAAATTCCTTGTACACATAATGAGGAATGCAAAATAATATCTTACTTGTTGTTCCAAACTGAACTTTTCTTCGATTGGAGACAAACGACCATTATTCTTTACTTTATCTACCGGACTAATCAATTCTTCATATTCTTCCATTTTTGCTATAAGTTCTGAAAATTTTTCATCGCTAATCTTTTGTTCTTGTTCAAAAAGTTGTCTTTCTTCTTCTAGTTTAGCTGTCCAATAATCCTCGCATTCTTCGTATTCTATCTTCAATAACTCAAGACTTCTTTCTAATTCCGCAGACTGTTCAATTAACTGTTTTTTCTCCGTCACATGTGTTGCTTCGAGTTCTTGTATTCTTATTTTCAGAAAATCAACGTCTTCAATGAACTCATTTTTTATCAAATCTGGATTAGATTTTATATTACTGTCGTTACTTATTTTTCCATGATTGAGCGAAGAATCTTTTTCCTTGCTTGATTTCGAATGATCAACAGTTGTATGTTCCTCTTTACGGGGAGGATAGTCTCTACGACTTGGTACTTTATTCTGCGATATATTTTTTATATCTTGACTGTTAAAATTATCATCCACATTAAAATTGTCATTATTGTTCATTACTGTCATTCGCTTAGCAGAAAGAGAATTTTTATGCTTGGGAACAACAAAATCCCGTAACGATTCACTTGTTCGTTCTTCGCATTCTGTTTCCATTTCAGACGCAATACTTTTCACAGAATCTGTTTCTTTAAATGTTTGTATAGCTGAATTTGATTGCAATCTCATAATAATTCCCGAAATTTCATTCCTGAACAAGCAGTTATCTGAAGTACATGCGTTACTGTTCCCTAATATGTTTTTCAACTGTTGCGTAACCAACTCTCTAAAACTTTTTAAATCTATCTTTTTACAATTTTTCACATTTTCTTCTTCATTGGCATTGCAGGGTATCTACATATAGCAAACAAATTATATTAACAAATTATATTATAACAATTATATAAATACATTACACTTTTAAGATAAGTGGAACGATAAATTATTAAATCATACTTACAGGTGTGGAATGTTTAAAAAGTACACGCAGATCTTCCTCCTCCACTATAAATGCTTCTTTATCTGTGGAAAAATGTTAAGTATTAAAATCTCATTAATAAAATATAAATCGACATAAATAAAATATGTAATATTTCTATTACCTTCAGTCTCGTCTAACTGTATGTTTCTAGTTGAACAATCACCTTGTAAATTATTCTGTCTGTAATGACACAATATAAACTTAAACTGTGTTTTGCAAAGCGTAAGTATATATCATATAATATTGTAGCGTTTTCTATACTACCTTATGTCTTTCATAGGATTATGGCGTACTTTTAAAGTTTCTAATTCTGTAGTAAGTTCATCATTCTGATCTCGTAAAAGAACTGCTTCGGATTGTAACTGTTTAATACGATCGACTAGGTATATAACTTCTTGTTGATGTTTCACCTCTATATCCTGTGACTAATTAAGAAAGTTCTGAATATTCTCATAATTCTACACATTATTATTATTATGTATATAAAAGTATTTTGAATTACCTCATCATGTTCGGCTGCTAATACTTTCGTCAGATTTAGTAACTCGTTATTTGATTGCTTAAGTTTTTCTATTTGGCTACGGAGGTTCTCATTCTCAGTTTCTAAAACTTGATTTTCTTGTAAAATATTCACAAACTTATTTTTAATTTCATGATTTTCTTTCTGGATTATTTGCAATTGCTCATCCTTTGACTTCAAAGTACTAGCATTTGTTTCTCGTTCAGAACTAAGTTGATTGGAAAGATCCTGTATAGTTTCAATATGACGTTGCTCTAATTGTTTTCGCAGGTTTTGTAGAACTTCTTCTTGTCGTGTATGCTGTTCATCAATTTCTTGAGCAAGGGTATTAGCTCGCTCATTAGCTTCAATAATATCCGTGCGTAACTTCTCCTTTTCACCATTTATATTCTCTATCATAAGGCTAAGAACAAAGAAAATTTATTATTAACTGCTTGCATTTCCATACTACAAATCTTCTATTATAAAATTTGTACTGTATACTTCAGACTGTGCAATTCTTCTTGGTATAATATCAGGACATCTCTTAGCAGCATAATATGTGATCGAATGGTAGAATGATCTAACGAATCATTAAAATTTTTCAATTCATCACACAAAGTTGTTGTTAAATCAGCCAGACATACTTCAGAGGTTCTGATACCCCTGTCCGTTAATAAAGATGTATTTGTAAGTCCAGACAATTTCCATGTGTCTAGATAAGCATTGTTCCTTGTAAAGCTGTTATTCCATAAACAAAAAATAAATATACAATAATAAATATTCAGAATAAAACATTTTATAATCTTTATAATGCAATACCTAGTTTTGCGAGGTGTGTGCATGTCAAAGGTACATTTTCTTATATCCAACTTAATTAATTCTTTTATAGACTCATTATTCTTATCTAGTGTTAATTGTTCTTCCATTGTTGTCCTGTTTTGGAATATAATGAAAAATTCGTCCAAACTAATTAATCCATCGCAATTTTGATCGAGCTTCTCGAAAATGCATTGTGTAATCTGTGCAAAAATTTATTTTAATTAATTTGAAATATACATACTGGAGAATGTGATTTCCAGTTTATTTTAAATTTATCAATAAGCAAAAAAATAAACACATAAACGATTAATTTATGTTTCAGATAACTATTTGACTAAAATAACCACTTCTATAAATAACTAGTGCATATACATCATACAGGAAAATAAATTAAACTTTATAATTACTTGTTTTGGAAGAGCTGGAATTCCTAAGCAATTAGATATAAAATACATTGTTGCACAATCTACATTTTCTTTCAAGCAACTATTTATTTTCTCCCATAGACATTTTAATCTGTTTTCATCCAATATTACACCTGAAAAATAATAATATATATTTTTAGGTAAAACTGACTAAAAATAATATATAGAAGTATTTATGTAAAACATAACTATTTAAAATTTTCTAAGACACAAATAATGGAAATATGGTAATCACCTGTTTTTACATTTAGAATATCTACATTAGAGTTGGAATTATTAGGTGATAATGAACTACATATTCTTCTATCTTCAATGGATGAATTTAGGTTACTTCGAGATTCCGTTGGAAAATCTTTGTCTGTACAAGTAACTAACTCCTGTGTTTTTCCTAATAAAGTTAATAAAGCAGTTCTAAATTCTTGGAATGATATAGATTGCTTTTCTTGTTTATGTTGTTGAATACAGGATTTCAATTCATCACTTTGTTCCGTAAGGTGTAATTTATGGCATAAAGTGAGCCAATTATCCTCATGTAGCTCAGTTTGGTCTTTCATTAAGCAACTTTGAAACACAGCATAAAGTTGCTGTTCATAAGGGTCATTGCTGTGTTCATCCATGGCATCCTTTCATTGTTTTTTAATGTGTTACAAAGTGTACTGGATCTACAAACAGGATTACATTAATTTTCCTTATCTATTAAAACTATATTTAAATTAAATAACATTTATAAAGTTTAAATGAATACACTTTAACTTGATAATGATTATAGTTACTATAAAGTGAACAATATTTTATGTAATTCAAACTTTGTAACAGATCAAGGATATTGACAAAAATAGTTTGAAGATAATAATTTTATTTATTTTTAATGATATAGTTGTCATTATTTAATCAAAGTATATAAAAAATCTATATTGGTAATTATAAAAATTCTTATTTTGTTGTATCTTATCAGATCATTTCTGTAAAATTATTGTACACTGCATGTATAATTATTTTCTGTATTCCTAGTTAGTTTGATATAAGATGTAATTCAATTAGTTATACACACGTTTTAATACTTAAGCCTTAAAAGTTATTCATAGTTTTCATGATTATTTTTACACATGTTAATGAATTTTATTATAGTAATAATTATTAAATTAGGCAAAATTTAATATTCATTACATAATGATTGTAATGATTAAATTAGTTTATTAATAATTAATTGACTTACTCGCTTAAAGATTGATTTTATTGAGTTTTCTATGTATAATAGAAATTGTAGAATATTTAAAATAATAAAATATGTGTTGTTCAGTATGTAGTGCGTTAACCTAAGAGATTATGTGTATTTGTACAGTATCTATTTACAGTACAAAGCAAGTTAGCAATATGAACATGTGTACATTATTTATTGTTGGAGAGGATAAATTATATTTTCAAATAAACACTTGCGTTAAATTTGAGTTATTTTTAGATTGCGTAACAAATATGTTAAAGAATAAGTTTTATTTACAGTTTAACACATTAGCACATAAACAATGCTTGACCAAGTTATTTACCTCAAGAATAAAGAGATAATTAAGAAGTCATTCCTACAATGTTGCATTGGACAGAAAATAAAGTATATGACGTTATATTATAAAATGATTATAACCTACCATTAAATTATAAAGTCGTTTCACGGGTACACGTATATGTGTCACATATATAGGTATATGCATACATATTACTATGCCGATATAGGAACGAATACACCACTGTGAAATATTTTCGATACTTTATATGGTTCACGAACTGACTCAAAGTGACTGTTACACCCTGATCTGAGGTTTCTTCAGAAACTTCCAAACGTCTTGTATCACGTCTTACTCGTGTCATACGATTGTAAAAAAAAATAAACATAATTTAAATCTATTAACTCACAATGGGAAACGGCAGGTGGCGTGTAGAACGCTATGTGGGACATAGCATACACGGTGTAACACAAATGTTGGAGGACCCGAAAATGGAAGACTCGTGGGATGATTTGAAACAACTTTTCCCTAAATAAAAATGTTATCCGAGGCTTTCACTGATCATTGAAGCCATTGATTCATCCGAAAAGACAATCAATCCAGAAATATCTGTTTTATCAACTTTAAACGTGCGTTGGTACACCTGTATCTGAAATGCCAGATGACTACATCGTTTTTTTCGTTTTTTATAGAAACTAAGTACCACCAAATGTTCTAAATACCACCAATTAGACATTAGACCATCAATAACCACCAAACGACCACCAATCGATTGGGTATAATGAAATGTTAAAAAGTTAAAGTTGTCCGGCTAACTTCACAGAGGTGTAGTGATGGGCACCATCTACTAAATAGTCGATAATATGTTGCGACTAAATAGTCATTAGTCGATAGTGCCCATCACTACAAAAATTATTTATTATTTTTAAATAATTTCATTTTATTTGTACTTTCATTCGAAAATTTCTTCGAATAAATTTCTTCGAATAAAAATCCATTTGAAGCGGTAGCGTTCAGCGTAAAATCTAGTGAAATCACTCAACGGTTGCGCAACGGTTGTGTCTTCTGAAGCAGCCAATGAGAGGCTCATCTTGTGTAGAACGTGCCGCCATTGTTGTTGCGATGCAGTCTATCTTTAAATTAAACGGATAATAAACTATTTACCATGGTAGCGGTGGCGACAATGGTGAGGCTACGAATAAACGGTATAGAGCAGTAGAGTCAAGTAGAGTGGTAGAGAGGAAAGGTTTGCAACGGATTGTTCGACGAAGTTGTTCAGTGACCGTGATTCTGTTTGCTACTTATTTGTTGAAGAAATTGTCATTTTTGAGAACAAAGAATATGGAAGCAGAACCTTTAGAACTTGAGGATGGCGAAGTTATCGACGATGAGGTCAGATATATTAATATTATTATTTGACAGAAGTCTAACCTATTTTAGCCAAGAGCATATTATATTAGAACGTTGTAGTTCGAATTCAAATTCAAATTATTCTCATGTGAATTAAATTAATACGATTATAAATCTTATACGTATTCTGTAATTATTGTTCTAATATCATTTGAAAACAGAAATTTCTTTAATAATTAAGTACACTTATTAATTATTTTAATACATTTTCATTCAGGCAAGCGATATCGAAACCTACAATGTTTTAAAACGACCTCATGCTTCTTCGAATAAAGAAGAACCTGCAAAAATAGGCTATAACGATGAATCCGATGATTCTGTGGACTCTGAGAGTGATTCTGATTCAGATTCTGGACATGTTAGGAGTAAAAAACCTAAGTTGAAATTGAAACGGTCTAGAAATTCAACTAAAACCGGAGGAAACAAAAATGACAAATATAAAATTTGGTGTACACAAGTTCAAGAAGATTCTCTGACAGAAGACTTAGTCTTGTGTGGTGTAACAAAAAAGCGGTATCAGGAACGTAACGTTGAAAATTATAACCTTCCACACCATTATTCTGTCAATGGTAGTTGGAACATGGAACACCATAACAATAATAGTTCAGAAGATGAGAAAGAAACCGAGAGGAGGTTAACAAATAAAAGAACTAACTCAGATCGAAATAATATTAAGCTAAGGTTAGGAAAGAGACGTAATGCAATGGATGTAGATCATCAAAAAGGAACTGTACGAAAAATAGCAGATTTAAGTACAACAGTAGAATCAACTGATGCAGATGTGGCTACTGATATAACTTCAAAACTTAATGAGAAAAAGGATGTCCTTATAAGTAAGCAATATGACTAAATTTAAACATATATATATGATGTGTGATTCATTTATTCTAATAAATTCACAAAAATCAGCTTATTTTCAGTGTTCTATATGTAATTCCTTCCTGCATTACTAAAATGCAATAACGTGTATTAATGTAACTAGAATTTGTAACTTACAGTTGGATAAATACCTTTTGTGCATTTACATAAGCTTGAAATGACTCAAGTAAATCACTTGTACATTTTGTTTGCAGGGAGAATTGTGGATATAATTGGTAAAGAAAAAGCTATTGGTTTTTTCCAAAAAACAAAAAAAATTGAACAAGGAGGTGGTATGTTGATAATGAATGGATCTCGAAGAAGAACTGCAGGTGGGGTTTATTTATGGTTAGTAAAAAATGATGAACATATCCCTCAAGAAAAAATTAGAGAAATTTTTTACTATGATAAAAAAGAGCATGCTGAACAAAGAAAAGCTGATGCTACTGCTAGAAGACAGAAGGCACAAGAACTAATTAAGTGTCTGGAAAGTAAGTATTTTGTGATTAGAAATATTGTTTTGTGAACAAAATGTAACAAACATGTCTGTAATACAGGTGGTTCGGAAAAAGATTTACCCGCCTTATTAACAAAGGCAGAACTTTCTACAAAGGAAATAGCTGAAGAAGCAAGATTAAGACGCGGAGAAGGGATGGACAGGATGCCTATAGATTCTGATCGTACAGTGACTAATCCACCGCCTAGCCCTGTAACAGATGATCCAGATCATTCTGAACATCCACTTGTACAAAGGCATATTCAAGATTATGAAGACGATTTCCTTGATGTTGGGATAGATGTAGATAGCATGGAAGTACTTTAAAATATTTTTACTTTATTATATTTCTTTTTGTAACGTGCAGATAATTTGTACAAAACGAAACTCTAATCTTTGCAAAACTACCAATATATACATCCACCCATAATGTGAATACAAGTAACACATAGTTTGTACGTTTGCTTACCATACATATAAATATCATATGTGATCAAAAAATTATCGATCTATTGCAACGACGTTCCATATTGTGATAAAATAATTTATCAAATGTACATACTATGGTAACGTACTGTGTCATTTTCTTAGATTTTGGGAAACCAGGAATATTTCTGTACTTCTTTCTTATGTTTCAGTTAACATGTTTATATTTATTATTAAGATAAATGTAAAAAATGTAAGAGACGTAACAAGTATGAAATTTTATAAAAATTGCGACAACATAATATAGAAATATTGGTGCCGCGACATTTTTATGAAATTTTCATTGTTGAAAATTGTTTATGTACATAAAAGTCACGAAAATAAATATTAAACTATTTGTACTTTGTATAACGTATTAAATGAATTATCTCGTGTACAAAACTTTATTTAGTATATTGTATAACAATGTATTAATTATTTAATTCAGTGTTTAATTAGTATTTTAAAAATATGTGTCGTAAGCGTAATTGTTTATTTTCCTGGAAAAATGTTTAAAAATTCAATTTATTTTAAAGGAACTAATAATCAGGAACTCTAAATTATTTTTTTCATACAATGATATTATCTCGTTTTATGGAACATTAAGTATAAAATTAATTTAAACTATTTACAAACATAAATTAAAGAAACATACATACTAATTAAACAACAATGCTTGATACTTCTTGATACTTTTGCATAATATCAAATTGCATACATTTTTTAAAAAGGTAATAGCAAAAACAAACACATTTATTGTGTAACATGATGTTTACCTTCATTCATTCAGTAAGATTTTATAGAACCATATATTTCAACAAAATCTATTTTTTGCAAGTTATTCGCTTACATCATTTTTTCCAGCAGTGATAAAAGTGTTTCACACCTTTCTCTAACCTGTAATAAAGTATTAATTAAACAATTTGCACTGAAAGTAGACAAAAGATTACATAAAAAAAACTTACTTGTTCAATTGTACGATCTCCTAATGTCTTACTAATCAAGGTAAGTGAATTGTCGGAATATTCTTTTTTAATAGCTTGTAAAAGAATCATGTCTTCTTGTCGAGTCCATGGATTGGTATTTATGTCAGCATTTAATTGAACTAAATTTGTAACCTCATCAGACGAATCAGATTTATTTGTATCATTTAACATTTCGACTTTCCCATCTGAAAAATTTTTGTCCGTTGTTTCTGTTACAGTATTTGTGCCTGACGATTCGTTCAGTTTCACATAGTCAATACGTGAATCTGTGCATTCTATTTTTGATTCATGCTTTTCGATTTTTTTTTCTCTTTTACTTTTGCACTGCGTCATCCGTATTTTTTTCGTATTTACATCCATATGATCTGTACTTCCCAGTCTTTTTAAGCCTCTCTTTTGGTCCCCCGTTTTTAATGGAGACTTTATATTTTTTTTAGACTTCACTATTACTTTCCCTGTTTCTTCGTTATCTTTTGTAGGCGAATTTTTCGACACACAAGGCTTCTGATATTGTTCCTCAGAATTAGATTCGTTTTTCGAAGATCTTCTCCGTTGTTTGGGTGAAACTGAAGGAACAAATTTATCGGTTGTTTTTAAAGACACACGAGCAATATTTTCTAATTTCTCTTCATCAGCACCAGGAAAAATAATCTTGGCTGGTCTTAGGCCTTCGGATGTTTGAAGATAAATTTTTCCATTAAGAAACTGTCAAAATAATTCTTTCTTATCTTATGTACTGCACAGTACTTGAAGAAAATATTGAGAAAAAAATATATATATATACCCTTGTTCCACAAGACACACAATGTTCAGGAATACTTTTACAAATAGAGTCATCGCCATTATGACAATTGCATCTACAATTTTCTCCACCGTAAGGATCTTCTTGAGACCCTGACACTGGCAATTCTATATTTTCATACAGTTCTGAAGCATCTTCAGTGTATACTTTGTGTTTGTCATGCGGTCCCACGGGACACGTTAAATTTTCAAACATATTTGATGCAAATACGCTGTAGAATAATGCACATAATATAATAAAGAGATATTTTACCTTAATAAGTATATCGTTTCACGAGCATTACCTTTCCGGTGGTTTGGCAGTAGGTAATATTTGTAAAAATAAATCCATGACTAAAGAGTGTCCCTTAAATATAGGACCCATAGTTGTATGAACATCTTCTAATGTTGTCAGCGGATCGGACGAAAGCTGCGTGATGGCTTGCATCATTTTTGCTATCCGGGAAGGTTGTTTAGCGAAGTATATTTGAGCAACATTCACAAATTCGTTCATCTTTTGCAGCATTATATATTCAACTGATTTATCTATCATTGCAGCTTGATGTGGTTTTAAAAATAATAAAAAGTCTGTACAAAGTTCCGGATATTCACGCAATTTTTCACACACGTCCCGATATAAATTAATAGCCATGACATCTTTATCCTTCCCTGTTTTCTCCATAATTTTTTCATTTTGTGAAGTTCCAGATGCATCAGAAAACAGTTCACTCTCTATTTGATTAATAATCTCTAATTTTTCGTAATAATCTAAATATAATTTTATCACTGATCGAAATATATCAGGACTATTAGACTCTACTATTAAATGCAACTTTTGGATATACGACGCCGCAAATTCTGCATAACATAAATAATAAAAACATTTCATTAATTTTCAGACACATTTCTTAAGATTATTATATGAAACGTACTTGATCCTCTTTCTTCCTCATTTAACGGATTATCAGACTCTAGAAGCCTCTTAATACTTTCTAACTCTCTAGCTTCTTTAGCTTTTTTCCTGCTAATTGAATCCTTTTTAATAGTCGTACTGGCTAACATTAACTCTGCTATTTCGTCTTCATTATCCTGAAATAAAAACGCATCGGAAGTGATAACACCGCCATGTGGAAATATTTTTCTTGCTTTTAACAGTTTAAGGAAATATTTGAGACGTTGTTTCCACGATTTGCGAGGAAAGATGTAATTGTGAAACAAAATTTCTTACAATCTAATTTTCTTGTTTTGAATTTCAAGTTCTGTGGCAGTTCTTTTAATCGATTGATATAATACAGATTGTTAAGTAAAAGCTTCTGTATATTAACGACTGTACTTACAAGTTTTGGCAAGATAGGCAGTTTTTCCGAATTTTTATCTACATAATTTTTTTCTTTAGACTTTAAGGAATTGCAATTAGACGATACTCCTTTTGATCCTAAAGCTTGAGCCATTAGCTTCATGTTTTGAGCACTTCTAGTCTTTGCTAATCTAGGCGTAGTTTTCCGTAATTGTGGCAATTTCTGAACCGTTTCAGGAGACTTTTTAGAAAGCTTATCTTCTGTTTTTTCATTCCTTTCTGGTATTTTCTCTTTCTCCTGTTGAATGTGCATACTTTTTAAAGCTTTATTACGATCTACTGGGATTTCTTTATTTAATGTATCAGAATTACATGAATCTGTATCCGATTCATTGCTACGTGCTTTTATTGAATTCTTAGAATTAGGGTTTTCATTTAAGCATGAAGCACTTTTTGTTATATGTTTATTCGTATTCTTTTGATTCATGGTCGCAGGTAATATCTTTGGTAACATGTTCACAACAGGATTCCGCAAAGGATGAACATTGGAAACAGTTGGGTAATTCTTAACAGTTTTACTTATAAAACCATCCTTTTTCATAAGATCATTGTACGAATTCAATATATGCTTCCGTTTTAATACGTCGATTTTCTGCTCTGTCTGTGTAAATGAATATAAATTATTCTAAACCTTCTCTGTTAAATGTAAATTATTCGCGATTACTTAAAAATGCTAATTACAAACCGGAGTATACAGAACTCAAATTATTTTACATTAGACGAACTTACATTGTTAAGATAATTCTGCCACTCTATAGGTAGTAACTCTATTGGGTGGTCTTTTGGTGCTTTAAGGTCACATTCTAGTGTTATGTAATGTATTGTTCTGGGAGCACAACCCTTCTCAAAGTAATGCTGTAATAACATTTATTTAGTTATGTCATTTTAATTTGAATGGTATGTACATTACGTACCTTTATTGGATTGGCATTTTTTGCAGCTTTACGTTTTTGAATGTGACAAAGTAATGCTGCGGGTTCTCTGCATGGCACTAAATACTGTATGATCAGCTGCACTGCATCCATTAATTGAAGCTTTTTACTTTTAAACCTCCTTGGTTTTGATGCAACGAACGGAATAAATTGTTCAAGGCCCAATGCAATTAATCTGAAAGGAAAAACTGTAATACACTGAAACAGAATTAAAACAAAAAATTATGTACTTACAATTCTTCAGACCTTAGATATGGAGTATGTATAAATCTATTTGATTCGGTCTTGAATGGTAACAGAGGTAAAAGTTGTGGGAACATCAATGCTTTACTATCCATAAATAAGTTTTTCAACTCTGGATGAAATTTAGAGGTGTGTTTCCACCTGTTTGAAGAGTATATCTTTTTCACTTCATTTTCATCTGCGATAGTTTTCTTAAAATTCTCCGAAAATTTATTATCCAGAAATTTGTTTTCCCAATCGGACATCAATTTTAAAGCATCTGGCAAATTTTCTGCATTGAATGTAGAATTAGGACCATTGCTTAAAGTCCTAACAGAAACATCACATAAGATTTCGATTACTGTATAAGTACCACGTTTACTGTACACACGTTTATGATTCACAAATTATTTAACAGCTAACTTACTTTAAACTAATTAAATTCTGTTTGCATGTTTTCGACTGAGCATGTAAATCTGGTTGCATATATGTCATAGCAAAATGTTGCACCATTAACTGAATATGCTGACGAAGTTGAACTGCCAATAATTGTGTTTGGTTTGGATTCATTAAATAAGGAATTTCAGGTTCCGTATAAACAGGCAGTAAATTTGTTACAGAGCAATTCTAAAAAAAAAACAAATTCAATTTCTGTTAATAAGTGCGTAAAATATGGTAACTACATTTTCTCCTTGCCATAGAATTATTTTCAAGGGATAAATTTAAATTTTCTGGAAATTTCTTCTTTTTCGAAATATCCTGCTCTTGTTTTGAAAATATATCCGTAAATTCAAACAATTCTGCGATTAAAGTATTTAATTCTTTCCGCGTAATTTTGACAGCCTTATCAGCTCGCAGTTCTTCTTTATCCACTAAAAACAATTATTCAAATTATATTTGAAGTTTCTATAAATGAAACAACCTTAATACAAATAATATTTACAAAATTCCATTTCTTCATCTTCTAAGATGTTATACTCTGGATCTGCTTCTGGATCATCCTCCATCACTGGATCTTGTGTTAACGGTTGAGTAAACTCTTTCAAAAAATTATCCCAGTCTTCATCTAATTCACAGTCCCAATCATACATATCGGTCGTTATATCTGGGGGTAGAAATGCTTGTTCTATTTGTTCTAAAGGGGTTTCGCTCAAACAAAGTTTTGAACGTGTCCTTTGACCAATACTTTCCTCTTCTGTTGGTACATGAGGAATACTGAAAAATAATACTTACAATTAACTAAAATACTATAACCATAATTTACAGAAGTATTGTAGAAATTATATTACCCTGGAATTTTAAAAATCCCTTCTGGATCGTACTGAATATTCTGTGATTTAAGGTGTTCAACTGAAGTTGAATCACAATTATTTGCCATTGTTGAGGGTTGTGAATCCATATCACTGTTTGTAGAATTTTCTGCTTCTCTTTCATCATCACTTTGCTTATCTTGTTCTGGATTATACTCTTCGTCAGAAGAATCTTCAGGCAGCTCTTCTTCAATCAGTACTTGTACATCAGATGTACTTTTTTTTATTGGTGTAATTGGCCATGGTATATTAACTTGTGCTGCTGCTAATTCTCTGTATAAAAATATTTCTTTTTAAATTAATCATGCTATGAAACTGCAGAACATATAAAATATGTTTCATAATGTCATACTTCGCCTTAGCCCTAGTTAATTTAGGTTCAAAAAGTATATCATCCTCTGTGTCCTGAAGACGATTTTTAACCATTGCCATTACATGTTCATTAGTAATCACATGCTTCAGAATATTCTTTACATTTGTAGCTGTTAAGTTAGTTTTAGCTGCTTTAGCATCAAGTTGCCTTTCAATTTCTTCTTCCATTTCATTAATGACTGAAGAAGTTTCTTCAATAGCATCTCTTTTATGTTTACTAGGAGGTTCATAGTTATCAATTTCAGAGATATCAATTTGCAAGTCTGCATTTTCTGAATCTGAGGAATCATTATTGTTAACATCGTCGAAGTCAAAATTAAATGAAAATGATAGGTTACACATTTTCTTGGATTCGTTCAAAGAAACAGACAAGGGAACAGGATTAGTTACATCCTTGATAATACTTTGCTCTGGAGACTCCTTCCTAAGAAGCAATCAAGTAGAGTAAATTAATTAAATGTATAATAAAATATTGACATGAGTATCATAGTATCAACTTACATTATCCTTTCAATAGAAATATTGTTTCACATAGGCCACTAACTAATATGACCCAACTTTTCAGTATTTAAATTTCATATCACATTTGTTTAATGTTCCCTAAATGTCATACAATAATAATTTTATAAAAAAAATCCAACATAAATTACTGTATTTAGTTAACAATTATACTAATATACAGGAGATTCATCAATTGACAGGTTATAAATTAAACATTATTATAATTACGGCATTGTAAACATTCAAAAGTATTACAAACAAACGCTAGTCGACTAAACTAATCGTGAGTTTCTGTTACATTTCACTTCAAAGTATCATATGGTCTAATTCTAATTAGTCTAAATACATAATATTTACCCGCTATTCATCACTGCAACTGATTGCAACTGACTGTAACCAACTGCAACCTTTAGTAGCGTTTTACGCCTTTTACTACATACTCTTTTACTACGACTTTTGTATATACAGGGTGTCTCACGTAAAATGTTACAAGCAATTTTCTCCAAAACTACTACAGATATCGAAGTGAGGTTTTTTTTAATTAAACAGTGCAAGGAGTAGCAAGGGGGCCGAATACAAAAAGTTTGTGAAGGAAATGGAGGAGATCTCTTGATGGGTAGAGGGGCGGGGGCACCCACCCCCTTTTTCAAAAGGAACGGCTTATTATTTGTTTTTTATTTGGAATATTTTTTGACATATATATGTATATATATAATTTTAAATGAAGTTTCGTAACCTAGATAATAGACAAAATATTTTATTATGTATTTATTTTAAAAAAATTTTTTTAGACCTATTCCCAAATAGCATATGACGCTTTAAAGACGCCTATTTTACGCCTATTTTAGGTCTAAGGCGTCTTTAAGCCGTTTTCAAGGCGTCATGTGCTATCTGGGTTATAAGAATGATATACTAGAATTTTCTTTTCAGACTGTTTCTGTATTACGAAAAGTCGACTAAAAATTTATTAAAACGAGACACGATTACAGTGTCTCATGTCCAAATTTTGACATTTATGTGTTATTTTCTTTAATGTTCTGTATCTTGATTACTATGTAATTATGAAAATGGCCTAACTTACATATTTACAAAATGATTCCACACATTATTGTAAATATAAATATATAGACCGATATAACATAAAATAAATGATAAAATGCATATTAAATTTTCACAGATCATCAACATATTTTACATATTTAATTAATGTTGTAGTTATGTAGTATAAACAATTATAATTGATATTATTATAAACCCTGATTAAATCCTTCGCACCGGTGGACGAGATATCTCGCCACGTGATTTCATTCATGAATCATGAAACTTGCATCAATTGTAAAAAAGTTGTTTCGTTTTAAAGGGTGTACGAATACTTTTGACACCGACTGTATGTAACTGTAGGTCATTTTCATACCTATTGGCACATTTGTAAAAGTGTATATCAAGGAAACGAAAATGAACTTCATTACGATCCTTCGATAATTGCTTTCAGCTAATGATTTCGAAAGTATAATTAACGAATATAGAATGATATGTGTATCCACGCGTGAGAGTCACCCTCAAACGGACAGAATATAAGGACGAATTCCGAAACGTGAAATGGTCAGTTTTGCTCCGATTAGTCGGTCGCGCATTAGACAGAACCGAACGGTTTCCATTTTCTTATACATTGAAAGATGAAGCTTCTAATTGTTTTCGGTGTAACAATCCTTGTTTTGACAACTTTTGTCGAGGCGAAAGAGATATCCCAGCTCTTGCAGGACCGACGTTACGTTGAAAGGCAAATCAGATGTATTTTGAACGAAGGACATTGTGATATTATAGGGAAAACGGTTAAAGGTGAGAATACACAATTTTTATTTTTATTTGTACAACAAATTAAGTTTTAATCAACTATTTTTATTTTGCGCTTAACATTCAGCACCAAAATTATTATCGAAGTATCTATATTTGTAATATGAATATATGATCAGAATATGTAAATTAAACATTCTTAAATATCCTTCAAATATTTATTTGTATACTATTTTATATTGTTTAGTTAATACATTAAACAATGACGAGGCATTTCCAAAATATATAACTAAAATGAGTTCATGTAGAATTGTTAATGATTAAAAACTATAAAATTATGCACGTGCTTCTGACGATTTTAATTTTGGAGGAAAGTTAATAGAAATTTACAAAATTTAGTTGTTATCGAATATGTTCATATAACTTATTCGTTTCGTTGTTTTATACTGAGTCTTATCGTTAAGAGTTGAACACATCGATGACATTATTCTGTTTGGATTTATTAAGGATATTTTTCGATCATAATTTTATACGTAGAAATCGCCGTTTTTCCTTATATCTCGCTAAAGCTAAATATACAACGAATTACAAAAGTTTAGTCCCTGAATGTAAAAGTAAAAAATTTCAACCCTTCCAGCCACCTAAATATGGTTTTAAAAGACGAATCAGATGGATTCTTTCTACCATCTAATTCGTCTCTTGAAACTATTTTAATTACGTAAAAAATAGTTTTCATACAATCACAGATAGAGAAGATATTTAGGTGTCCTGTTTTAAGCGGAACACCCTACACAATTTCGTTTTTTATGATAAATCTCAAAACATGTTGATGCAATCGCGAAAAATACGAAAGGATAATTATTGGACAATTATTAAATAATTACAATTATTACTATTATTAACTTACATTAACTAATCATTCAAATTATTTTTTCAAGAGTAATCCGTAAAAGAGAAACACAGGTTTGATATTATATGTATTTAATAACAATATACATATTATTTAGGACCGGTAAATTAATTAAAAAGAAGTTCAATCAGTTGGAATACACCTTTTCTTTAACTACGACTATTTGTGAAAAGAAAAATGTGTTTGTATAATTAGGAGTGGGTCAACAAAATCGTTTAATTTTGTCAAACGGACCAATACAATTGAAACCAACTGTAAAAGGAATCTTCATAAACTTTGAGTCGATGTGTTCTTACAGAATTATTGCCGGAAGCGTTGAACGACAATTGCCGACATTGTACATCACGACAAAGGGAGCACGCACAGACATTGATGGCGTTCACGCAAAGAAATTATCCGAACGAATGGCTCGCGATCGTTCAACAGTATGGGAGAATGTGATATCGTAAATATTGAGGAATTCAATGGAACAACCGACAATCGAAACAAATCACATTCAGCCGATATGTTTGAATAGTTTCTAGAATTGACAACTGGTTCATTTCCGATATATTATGTATTGTTAACATTACCTGACGACTTTTTATGAAAAATATATGTTTGCAAAATAAAATGGTAAATGTTTCTGCATGCTTTTAATTCCCTATTTTTATAGGAAAATAAAATCAAGTTTATATCTCAAATACACTGGCCGAAATTTCTAGAAAGTCAGTTGGTCTAAAATAAATATAACATTTATGTAAAACAAAGAAACACAAAAATATAATTCAACAGAAATTTCTATAAAGTGATTGGCTTTTTACAAAAATAAAGTTGAAATTAACAATTGGTATGGAATATTTATAAGAACGCGTAAAAAAACATGGTTGCTTTATAGAAATCGGCCAGTGTAGTTGTGGAGATAAAAATTCTTTAATGAAGATAGTTTTCGTAAAAATCTGTGAAAGTTGTCAAATTTGAGGGTCAGAAATCTTGTAAACAAATCCGAAACCAGTGAAATGATGACTTAAACCCTTCCTAATTTCACGTAGACTACAACGTATTTCATTTCGAACAAAATTCGTGATAACGAGTGCAAAAAGTGATCGATTTGACGTGGAATGACCCTATAGGTAAATATGTACATATAATTTTCTTGAATCTGATATAATATTTGCACAATTTCTCTATGTAGAGTCTCATAGAGTACATGACGCCTTGAAGACGGCTTAAAGGCGCCTCATACCTAAAATAGCCGTAAAATAGGCGTCTTCAAGGCGTCATGTTCTATCTGGGGTAAATCTTTGAAAATGTTACCGTTCGAATACTTTCTCTGTTCACTGTCTCTAAAATATCGTTATCCACGAAACAATAACTACATAATGCAAGCGCCTGAAAACGAAATCTCACGGTTTCCGGACGCCAATGGATTGTAAGTACATACATATGTATGTACTATGAAAACAAAATTTCTCGTTAGCGGTCGGCAATGTGTGTAAGTAACTGTTTAAGAAGTTGAAAGTTCGTTAATTAAAACTGTACACACCTGGCAAACGTGTTCCAAACGAGCCGTGTTTGATTGCATTTGACCCAGCGGCTGTCTGTACACAATAGGAAGGTCAAGGGACAAGGTAGAAAGTTTCCAATCCTACGCTCGGTTTTTCGCAATATGGTGGAATGATGAAGTGGGTTGAAGTGCGCGCGACACGGTCTGCATTCAAATCACTACTGACGATTCTAATGTCGAAACAAATATACATACATACATAAGTACATCATAGATGTATAAACAGTATGCTTTGAGAGCGAAGGATCCAGCGGCTTATAGGAGATTCAAGAAGGTACGCTAGTCGCAGAGTGTATCATGACGTGCGATGTTTTCGAGAATAATTTCAGGGTTGTTTAACACGTTGGCTTCCATATGAACGCCGGCGGGTCACACTTAGGGCTAAATCGATACCGTCAAGGTATCGATACTTTTACTCATAACGTGTATCGAAGAAAAAGTATCGATATCTACTCACAATTAGTATCGCATCAAAAGTATCGATATCTAGTTGTATCGAAGGAAAATGAACACAAAGTTCTTTTTTATTCATATGATATATTTTAACCAGATTTGAGCAGAATTTTGCTGCAATATCTAAGGGCGTCATCCTGGGCTTTAAATAGTTAATGAGATTAAATAATTGTTTGCCAAATGTCGACTCATTTAGGAAGTAGTATTATATCATCACAAAAATTGGAATTTCCACGTTTAAATGATTAAAAATGACGAAGTACGTATTTATCTTTTATTCGGTATTCGAAACTCTTTATCTAGATAATGAATTTTCTTATCTCTGATTTTAATGAAGATATATTTTATTAATGAACATTTATTAACCAAGAAATATTTCATTAACGAACACTTATTAACTAAATAAATTTCGAGTATATTATAATACATAACAAATAAAATAGAAATGAAACTCACAAATATTACATAACAAATTATTCAATATGTCATTTTCGTATTATTAGATATAAAATACTGAACTAAATTTAAATTAACGTCCAAAAGGCAACATTTATGAAAATTTTTCACTGGATACATTATTTGTTTAATTTTTTCTTGTACAAACACCCGGTCAATGTGAATCGCGTGATTGCCAAATACAGCTTTAACGTCGTATTGTCACTGATAATAATCCTTGGCAAGGTATGCAAGGTAAATGCTCGATGGTCACTGTCTAAACGCATGGATGATCTCTTTATTATTCTGTCAGCATGCTATTAACATTATACTCCTGCTATCGTACTAGTACCTGATTCACGATTATCGTTCCTTGCAACTGTACATAAAGATTGTTTAGTTTAACATTACAAGAACAAGAAGATACAATGTTTTTATAAAACATTTACTAAACAGGTAACACACGAAGATTGTTGACAAAATGAAGTTGAGTTCAGGTTTTAAAGATTAATTTAGGTTTCAAAGACTAATTTCAATCGAAGATTCATCCAAAGATGGTTCTTCAAGATTACAGTACAATTGTAAAAAGTTTAAATTTCTGGTTTACGTCAATGTGAAGATTTAATATAGTTCGTGATTAATGAAGTGCTAAATCGTTTCTTACTTTTCACGGAAATAACTATTCATCGAAACACTTAATTCCAGTTGCATTTATTTATCACTTGAGCATGTTAATATTTGATTAAAATCCAAGAAATATGTCTGTTTACATTATTCTGCTAGAACATAAATACGATGTTCCTTTAAGAAAACAAGACTATTACCAGTAAACGCGCATAAATCCTGTTCTGTAATTAAACTTCGCGTGTATTCTGTGACCAAACAGCTAGCCTTACGCGTTTATGGAGTGTGCACACGTAAAAATATAATGAAACAGCGAAACTGTTGATGAATGACAAAGATTCTGTTTTATTTGTAAATTATCCGACTGTTTCATTTAGATTCTTAACAGATGTAATTAATGATAAAATACGTTTTCCTGCAATTCCAATTTTTCAGAAATAATCTTTGAAACTAGAGGTTCGCATGAATACTTATCGCAATAATATTTATCGCATGCGTTATCTAATATTCAATATACAATTTTTTTCAATTCAATTCAATTCAATACTTCGATTTAAATCCAATAAATCTTAGAAGTTTGTTCACGGAAGACTGTCTACGTTCCTTTCACCAAATTGTGCATCAAACCGCGAATTTTACTTCCAAATTAAGCAATATTGAATACTAAAAGATGGTAAAACTGACGATAACAAAGATACAGGAATTATACAAAGGTTTTTACACTATAAATTGTTGTTTGGAAAGTATACCAACAAGAATTTTAATAAAGTTCACTTATTTTAATAAGTAGCAAGAAATTTAATAAAGTGCAACGAGATTCCTATGTTATTTGGTATACTGACCAAATCTTTAAAATTGTGGAAAATTATGGAAGTTGTGAAAAATGATGAAAATTGTGAAAAAATTACGGTGACCAACTTTCTATTTAATTTTCGTTTCTGTAAATTTGTTCATAAAAACCAATACTTGCATGAATATCTGCATTCCAGTTTATTACGATGCCGTGCATGATCATCAAATCAAACTTCCACGCACGTGCAGTTCTAATAACATAATAGCATAAAACTATGCGTCTGCGAATATGCGTCTCGTTGATTCGAAACGAGTTTAATGAAAATTGGATAACACGTATAAATTCCACATTACGAGATACGAACCGATGCTTCATGGATTACGAATGAAAATTTTCGCACGTCAGCAGAACTTAAGAAACAAACAAAGTGAATGCAACACGATTTACGGTAGTGTTCAACAATATAAGGCTACCTATTCTCCAGAATGCTTTATTTCTTAGGGTATCTTATACCATATAACTATCGTTACACATGTTCTTAATAAGTTCTTTGTCTTTATTTAATTTCCAAGCTTTGAGACAATTAAAATGATTACCTAGAATAAAATTAATTTCGATACAATGAAACAAAATCACAGAAGAACCATCACGATCAGTGAAAGTAGCGATATCTGAAATCTACAGTTTATTTATATATATTAATATCCAGAATTGTAATGAATAAGAATAAAATTGGCCACATAGATGTGTTAATAAATTAAAGAATGTAGTGGTCCCCATAAAGGTGGACGATAGGATACGAAAAAAGATTAAAACATCATAAACAGGTCAAACGAGGATAATTCTAATCGAATGAGTAATTTTTAATGGAAGATATCTTCGTCGTATCCTGACAACGGGGATAGGCAAAATGTTTGTAGCGGATAACAGATAACGAAGAATGTACGTAAAAGTTCATTTTGAACTTCTCCTATTTTAGATATATTCTAGAAACCTATTTAAATTATTAGTCTGAAAGTACCCTTTTTATAATTTTCTGAAGCTTCAAGCTTTCCTGTTAACAGAAAATTTTGGTCTTTTCTTTTAATAGCGCGTTATTGTCGTCTCGGTAAATTAACTGGAACTTTTTAAAATGTCAACTAAATCAAATTTGCACTTGGTGTCACGTTTAAGATTTAAGGGGTAACGCCACGATGCGATGGTAAGCCAAAAGTAATACGATGACTTCGGAGGTGATTTTAAAAAAATTTATGAACTTCACTCTAAATGTAAGATAAGATCCTTATGACATGTATAAAAAAAGAAAAAGAAAAATTTTGCTTAGAATTTTTGAATAAAAAATAGCGGTACAATAGCTGTACGGCCGGTAGCATATACTGTGATATATTACCGAAAACCGTAATAAACACCGGTACTTTTTCGGTTTCTATAAGGGTAGGGCTTATATAGGGTTATATAGGGCGGAGATACAACCGAAAATACCGGTATGATACCGGAATCACTGTGGCATGGCGCCGTGTTCACCGTGTTCACGACGTCGCGCGTAAAATGATCGGCTAACGCGCGCGTCCCATCCACTCCCTCCAGGCCGTCCTCCGTCTCTGTTCGGCTATATAATTCGGTAGCCGATTCGAACAGTTACGAAGAGCACTTTTCACGACGGAGAGGCTAGCCGATTCGGCTTCGTTACGAGAATCATTGTTTCGAGGGAAAACGGTCAACGGTGTGCCCTGAGCCCAAATTTTCCTCTTGCTTCGGGGTTTCGTTTTCTCTCCGTGTGTCGGATTTGAATTTTTCTTTTTTTTTTTCTTCATTTTTGTTCCGATCCAATAGTCGCGTCCTCGGCAAGCGCGTGTCACCAGACGCAACATGAAAGTTTCACTTCTGCTGTTGGTCGCTTTGATCGCGATCGCTTCTGTGACCGCGAACAAATATCCGTCGAAATACGACGACGTCGACGTCGAGAGGATCCTCCAGAACGGCCGTGTACTCACAAACTACATCAAATGCATGCTGGATGAGGGCCCGTGCACCAATGAAGGTCGAGAATTGAAAAGTGAGTAACGAATGACAGCGGCTCCCTGAAGGCTTGAACACGCGGTTGCGTTGGGTGTTAAAATTTGATTTCGAATAATAAATAACGAATAATTCGCGAATAACGAATAACGATATTTTAGTCGGCGAGAATTTACTGATTAATCACGAATACTTAACGCTTTAACTCTTCGAAGCACAGGATTTTACAATTAAAAAAATATACCTAGTTGAACAGACATTTTTTGGTATAAAATGTGTCAAAATATTATTTTATTTCAATTGTAGTTTATTTTTTGCAATTTCACGATTTGAAGGTAGTATGAATAACCGTATCTTCTGTACTACTCGCGTATTATATTTTTAGATACTCTATTATTTTATGCGAATTTTCGTGTTTTTCATTTTTTTCCTACATAATTCAATTTTACGTTGTGCATGCGTAATTGGATTTTACATGTGTATAATAGAAGTTTTTTTTCGAAAATTAATGTTTGACACGAGTTTATAAACATTTATATAATAAAATAATAAAATAAGAAAAGACAGTAATTTTTTTACGGTCTTCCTACATTTTAGCAGACGTCTAAGGTGTCTGTACTCGTTATTCGAAATAACTCCGCGGAAAAATAATGTTTTAACCCTTTAACGGTGGAATTTCGTTTTGGAATTGTGTCTCCTTTTGATTCCTTTATTCTAATAAAAGAAATATATTTGTCAATTTTCACTAAAATTTTAATTTTCATAGCAAAAGATATTTTATTTTCTCACATGACGAGTATTACTTGTTGAACACCGTTAAAGGGTTAATGGTGACCGACCCTGGATCCTTCGTTATCTGTACGCATTTGTCATCACGCTGTTCGCTTCATTTCCTAGGCTATACTTACAAATTCATTCATACGTCACGTACGATACCTTCATTAGTCGATTTTTATTCGAACAAAAAATGATTCGTTATTCCGGAATAAATTTATTTTAATCGTAACCGATGATTAGTCGAATAATGTTCAAATTTGGCTATTTACCCTTCTGAGAGGGTAATTAATGTGAGGAAGCTCACCTAAAACAATCTGTAAAAGTAGTAAGAAGCACCACTCTCTCGTTTTTAAGAAATAAATCGTTAAAAAATTGCGAAAATTTTTGCCTGACCAAAAGTCACGCTGCTTTCATTCGGAAATTTCAATGCATCTGCACTGACTATTACGACAGAGTGCCACACTCTCTCTGTTTATTACGTAAGTTGCTATGAACTTTCTCGTATGGAGTGCATCGAACTCCCTTAAATAATGTCTAACGTTGCATATGTGTAATTATTACGCGCATTGAAAGAAAAATGAAACGAGGAAAAGCAGTCAGAAGGCACTCTTTATCCCCGTGCGTTACCGCTATTACGTTCGAACAATGATGGACGTTCGCGAGATCAAATTTAACTATTTAAAGAGTGAATAATTATTTTGCTAACCAAATTTAAGTAAAAACTAATGAATAATCATAATTTTCCAGCCGGCTGATACATGAAATTTACGTAATTGTATATCAATTATGTACTGTTATGCAACTTACAAATTACATACTATGCGCAGTACTTTATTTATTGCTTGTGCGGACATTATTATTGTACAAAATATATGCTGTTTACTATTCGGTTATGAATAAATCGTCATTCGTTTGTCAATCTTCTAAATATTAAACAGATAATGTATGTATAATTTCAGAAACTTTGCCAGATGCTTTATCCTCGGGTTGCAGTAAATGCAATGAAAAGCAAAAAGTCACCGCGGAGAAGGTAATAACTCACCTCAGAACGAAAAGACCGAGGGACTGGGACCGATTAACGGCGAAATATGATCCGAATGGTGAATACAAAAAGAACTTCCAGAACACTGAAGCCGCCAAAAAGACGTAAACCTTAAATTTAAGATTGCGACATCATCTGTACACCGAGGATCTACTGACATTGACAATTTTTCAATCAAAGTAAATAAACTCAATAACATGTATTTATATACACGTAGTCATTCGAGATACATACGTTTGTATACATTATCATCGATATTATGAAATCTGACGAAGGTTTCAGGTTACATACTAAATCTGCATGTTCAGTTATACTTTGTATATTATTTCTTCATCTACTTTGTTAAACGAATGTATCTGTCAACGTATGCACGTTTTGTTTTCATGAATACGTGTTTTCTTAACAAGGAAAACACTTCTTTTGTAATCTTTTTTATGTCTTTTTGTGTCCAGTAATAAAGTTCATTTATTTAAAAAGTTTGTTTCGTGAATAAGACCGTACATCCATTACGAGGGTTACAAATTATGAGGAACAAAAGTATGTTTGAAATGTATTCTCAGTTATGAATATGATTATAGCATTCATTTATTCGACCCTCCTCTTCTTCACAAGTGACCCAAGCTGGAAGAAATATTAATTTTGGTATTAGTGCGTATATATTTGATAACGTATAAAAGAGGAATATGTAGGTAACATACAAGATCTGAAATTGCAGGTAAATTATTTGTCTGATCTGTAACATTTGCCTCTGGTTCTCTGCTCTCTTTTGGAGGAGCAGCCTTCTTCATATTCCTGTGTTGTGGGAATGTTGGCATAAGCTTGGGATCGCATGCTGTGGACATAATTATAATCATATAAATTAAAATCACACAAATAGTTAACAATTTGGAGAATTAGAAAGTATAGATTATCCTGTATAACTTACGCAAGGGAGCTTCTTTAAAGTAACTACTTTGTAAACATTCCTCAGCAGTAGCTCGTTTCTTTGGATCATACATAAATAAGAAGTTTAATAATCTTAGACCAGCAGCACTTAACCATGGAAACCTTTGTTTTAAATTATTATATGGTTGTTGTTTCAATGTAAAGTTCTGCAGTGCTGGAAGGGTGTTGAACTCGGGCCAAATTGCTTCACTTGGTGTACCCAACAAATCAACAATTAATTCGAGCTGTGCAATTTCTGATCGCCCAGGTAATAAAGGTCGATGTCCGAGTAATTCACCTAATACAAGCAGTAAATTAATGTAATAGTGCAGTATTATATAAAAATGAAAGATTATAGATAATATACCTAAAATACAACCAGCAGCCCACATATCCACGGAAGTCGTTTGGGTTTTTGCTTGCAGTAATAACTCTGGTGCTCTATACCATAATGTGACTACTCTAGGTGTCATTGGTTTTAATGGCAAACCAAACCATCTAGCCAATCCAAAATCAGCAATTTTTACACACCCTTTGTCTGTCATAAGAAGATTTGAGACTTTTAAGTCTCTGTGAACAATGAAATTATGGTGCAAATAACGTAAACCTTTCAGTACTTGTAAAACAATACATTTAACTTGACTTTCTGAAAATGGAGCTTGCATATTGTCTAATAAACTGGCCAAGTCTTGTTCACAATATTCCATAGCAAGAAATATGCTTTCTAGGCTCCTTCCCACTACTACTTCTCTTAAATGTACAATGTTTTCATGACGACAAGATAAAAGAACAGATATTTCCCTGAGACCACTAACTGGTAAACCATCTTTCTCGTGTTCCATTCGAACTTTTTTTAATGCAACAACTTTATCATTTTTTGTGTCTCTTGCTCGATAAACAATTCCATATGTACCTTCCCCTATACGATTCAACTTCTCAAATTCTGACACAAATCTGCATTTACCTAGCTATTGAAATGAAAAGTTACATTATTAATAATACTAATACACTTATAACAAATAGAACAATAATAAAAATGTAGGAATTATTACAATATCTTGTTCTGGTATTTCCATAGGTTTACCAGTTAGAAATGAAGTTAATACTCCTCTTCTTGTTATTGGTGCTGATGGATCCGGTCCTGTTTCAGATGCAGCTTTCTTATCAGTATCATTATTTTCTACTGATTTCTTCTCCAGAGACTCATCTAAATAAATAAATATCATGATCTACATTTATTAATAATTATTGGTTATTATTAAAATTCTATACCCACAAATTTTTATAAAATTCGTAACATGTATGGTGTAATTGTTAGAATCATAGAATTAATAATAATGTATATGATTTATAATAATAATTTAATTATACCTTATAAATTAATGTATTACATACAAACAAACAAAGTTCCTGTTTTATATCAATAAAGGAAAAATGTATAGATTTACTTTGATTACACATGAGTATCGGTACAATTTTATTTATTAATTTTTCTAAAATAACTTAATGAAATTGAAAATAAAAATAATAATGCTTATAAACAACACGAAATTTAACGAAAACATTTATATGAATAAAAATGTTAGTTTTAAGTAAAGCTTTCAATTAATACTAAGGTAGAATCCATTTGATATATAAATAATATATACTTTCATTGAAAATATACGATAAACAACAACAAAATTGAGCTTCTTAACCTAATCGATCTGTATTTATATCGTATTATAAATCAAATAAAAGAATACCTTTCGTCATTATGGCTGATTTATTTTCAAAAGAATATTTGCAAAACTATATTTAATCTCGTTTTCAGCATTCGTGTCTACAAGTAATGGAGATACAGAAGTAATTAATTACACTGAATTACACTCAACAATCAACGAATCAACCGGGCACGATAGTTTTTTACAATATCTCGTACCATTAAAGATATAGTTTAAAGCATAAAGTGTGTGAGCATTAAATATTGAGACGTTCTAACTGAAACGCTCTCTTACGTTAGACTTTGTAACATGGCATGTTTAAAAGATAATTTGAATCATAGAACCACATAGAACTCATCAAAATAACAATACATAGTGGTTTTGTCACACAATCGATCTCACATTCTTTATTGTGTCATAATTTAATACAAAATGTTTATTAAATCTGTTAAATTTGTCCCTAGAGGTCTTTAAAGCGTTAAAGGCAGAGTATTTCAGTTCCATTTCAGTATTTGAGAAATACTTATACAATATGAAAATTTAGAAATAATATATATGCACCCAAAATATTTAAAAACTGTTTTCCTTTTCTTCAATTAAGGTATACATCCTTACAGTCTAGGATTGACAACGAGATTATAGAGAGCACTGGAGACAATTTTGCATATTATTTAGCAAACATATATATTCTTTTTATAAACTTATGCTTTATTCAATCTTTATTTTAAATATTCATCATTTCTTCTTTGCTATATATAATCTTGCGGCGTAGTAGTAAACAGTATATACATATATGTGATTTACCCATCTTTGTTCCGTAAGTCTATGATATTTATATTATTATTATGAGTATGAGATAGGTGGAGATAGGAATTGATGCGAATTTCATTAAAAAGGGGAATAATGTATGTATTTGCAAAGTGGAAAAATCTGTATTTTTGTGTCATTCTGATCCATCAGACATTTATTTAAGTTTGAATAAATGTTCATTAGTGAAAATTAGTGACAACAATATATATATATACATTATACAGATTATATATACATATCATATATGTATATAATCTTTAAGTGAAATCGTAAAATAATTCAAGAATGTGAGTGAACTCAAAAAGCGAAGCTTACATATATAGACTGAAAGTTAACCTTATTTTTGTTATCCGTAGTTGTTACTATATAAGTATTTATGGAACCGATGGACTTTCACTTTTTCACTTTTATGAATACGTTAACGTTCGATGAAACGTATTCTCGAATGTATTTAAACTTCTAAAATGTGATGCTACTGGTGTTGTTTGTCGTCGATGGAACATCGTATTTATCAATGAAAAAAACGCTTTGAACAAAAACAAAGATAATCAAAGTAAAATTACTTTCAGAGAATCTTTGAATTGAGTAAATTGAAACGTAACAAAAATGAGTTCTCATCACCGTTTAAATCCATTGTCTGGTGATATAGAACATATTAGTTATCTGTCTGATGATATTGGTGCTCTCTGTCTTTCTGATGATTATTCAGATGTGACTTTAATTGTTGGTGGACAAAGATTCAACGGACACAAAATTATATTAGCTGCACGTAGCCAGTATTTTAGAGCTCTTTTATTTGGAGGATTGAAAGAATCAACGCAACGTGAAATTGAATTGAAGGATGCCAATTTGGCTGCATTTAAAGGTTTATTTGGGTACATATACACAGGACATATGTCACTAACAGACAGACGTGAAGAGGTATTTTTTGTTCTTACTTGTCGTTTTAATTTAACATCTTCAACTATGTTTCTCAACTTGTCGTTATTCATAGGTGGTTCTGGATATTCTTGGATTGGCTCATCTTTATGGGTTTTCAGAATTGGAAACTTCTATATCGGATTATTTAAGAGAAATATTAAATATAAGAAATGTGTGTCTCATATACGATGCAGCGCTTCTTTATCGAATAGAATGTCTTACAAGGGTATGGACATGATGTCAAAAGTGATATCCAAAAGAATGTTTGAATATACAAGTATTAAATTCTAGGTTTGTCAAGGGTATATGGACAAACATGCTTGCGAAGTGATACAGAATGATAGCTTTTTGCAGTTAAGTGCTGCTGTTTTGAATGAGCTTGTTTCAAGAGATTCTTTCTATGCACCAGAAATCGATATCTTTTTAGCTGTGCAAGCATGGGTAAAAGCAAATCCTGATGCTGATGGCAAAAGTGTGTTAGGTAAGTGGATACAAGAAATAAACATGTAAAAAGAAGTACAAAAATAAAACAAATACCATTCATTCGATTATATTAAAAGGTTCATTTAAAAAATCTGTATTCTATGTAAGTAATAAAAGTAATTTTATAGATAAAGTACGATTAAGCTTGATTTCTATCACGGATCTCTTAAATATTGTTCGACCGACTGGACTAGTTGCTCCTGACATACTGTTAGATGCAATTGCTGCAAGAATTCAAATACGAGATTCAGACCTTACTTATCGAGGTAGACTGCTTATAGATGAAAATGTTGCCCATCCTATGCATGGCGCTCAAGTTTTGCAAGGTGAAATGCGCAGTTATCTCTTGGATGGAGATACAAGCAACTATGATTTGGAACGAGGGTAAAGTAATAAATACATTTTCCAAGTTGTTCATATAAGTAAAATTTGCTGTTTTTATTAGGTATACTAGGCATACCATTACGGAATCTCGAGAACACTGTATTTTAATCAAATTGGGAACCCAGTGTATTATTAATCATATCAAGATGCTGCTCTGGGATAAAGATATGCGCTCATATTCTTATTATGTAGAAGTAAGTCAAATGCAAAATATCAAACAGGTTAATATTAGGATTCTGAATAATTGCGATTACTCCTTATTTATTAACAGGTATCTATGGATCAAAAAGATTGGGTTCGAGTTATTGATCACACAGAATATTTTTGTCGTAGTTGGCAGTATTTATACTTTGAACCAAGAGTAGTTCTTTATATTCGTATTGTTGGAACAAATAATACTGTAAACAAGGTAAAGAATGCAATTCATATAAAAAAAAAGGAATGTCGAGAATCCTCTCTTGGAGTTATTTTTGCATACATTCTTTTTCGAAGGTATTCCATGTCGTCAGTTTTCAAGCTTACTATACAAATCAAATAGAGAAGCTTTGTAATGGTTTTGTTGTTCCAACACGAAATGTTGCTACAATGGATCTCAGTGCTACAGTTACTGAAGGTGTTTGTAGGTATGTAATAATCAGTTATCTTTAGTATTCTTTCTCTAATAAATTATTTATGTAAATTTAGATCTCGCAATGCTTTATTGAACGGTGATACCTCAAATTATGATTGGGACAGTGGATACACATGCCATCAGCTTGGTTCTGGATCCATTTTAGTGCAACTTGGACAACCATATATTATAGATTCAATGCGGTATATATTACAACGTAATTTCTGAATTACCACTATCAAGTCACGAAATGGTTTCTCACTGATATTTATGTGTTATTTAGATTATTACTATGGGATTGCGATAATCGTTCATACTCATATTATATAGAGGTGTCTGGTAATTGTTGCAATTGGGTTCTTGTTGCTGATAAAACTAGAGAAGCTTGTCGTTCTTGGCAGACGATTCGCTTCGAACCGCCTCGTCCTGTGGTGTTTATACGTATTGTTGGCACACATAATACGGCAAACGTGGTTATTATTTATTATTTACCTATTTTATGTGTGGAAGATTATTTTATGTGTGCATAGACAGTATCTGTCAGAATTCTAAACATTTAATATTTTAGGTGTTTCATTGCGTCCATTTTGAATGTCCTGCTCAAACAAACGACAAAGATGTAAAGAAGTCTCCAATTCATAAAGGGAAGCAACCAGTAACGAATGATTCTATGCTTTCATTGGTAACATCACCCCCAGAAACAGCTACAGAAGCAGTAAACATTGATCATGAAGAGACAAATTCTGTTTATAACAATGTATCTTTGTAGTTGTCTTTAGTTTACTAGGTTTTCACACAGAAACTGCTGCACAAAATTCTACCACTACTGATTTAATTACATGTTGAATCTCAATTTTTATTTTCCAAACATTACGTTAATTTCCTGAGCTGAATGTTACAAATTTGTATAATATTAAGTAAGTTATGATTGTAAAAATAGTTGTAAAATAAATTTTTTGAATCACGCTTGATTTGATAAATTGCCTCTTACTCCACTCTGGCTTAAAAAAAAATAAGTGATTATGTTTAAAATACGATAAATGTGCCTAGTAAAATGTACTCGAAAAAAAAATCTTAAGACTGAAATTACGTATTTATATGTAGCGGCAATTCTTTTATATAAGGCCTACGCCATCAAGGTGAGCCGTGAGCATTGGAAACTGGAATCAGAAGAAGGGACAAGTTTCGCCTCTGTAAGAGTTTTATTATTCTATGCTTTGAAATTTGGCGGTAATTTGCAGCAATGCGAATAACTGTAACTGTCAATGGGTAGTGGGGTGGTGATGGATAGTATGTGTATATTCGTTGCGGGTCATTAATCTTCTTAAAAGTTAAGTATGGGTATTACCGGCTTACTTCCTTTCTTAGAAAAATCTTCAAAGAGAACAAATATTAATGAGTTTGCCGGTGGTACTGTTGCTATTGATTCTTATTGTTGGTTACATAAAGGTGCGTTTTCTTGTGCTGACAAATTGTCAATGGGACAACCGACAGATGCGTAAGAATACCATTGTTTTAATTGTATTATTTATCAAAACAGTGTATCGTACGATCATCATTTTTTTTAGGTACGTTGATTACTGTATGAAATTCATATATATGTTGTTTAGTCATAAAATTAAACCAATTCTTGTATTCGATGGACGACATTTGCCTGCCAAAGCTCAAACCGAAGCTAAACGACGAGAGTATGTACAGTTAAATTGCAAATAAGTACTGCATGCGCTAATTAAGATTTTAATTTACTACTTAAAATCTGTACAAGAAGCCTATAACTCAATATTAAAGATGCATGTTATGTATATATTTATTTAAGCAAATAATTACAAATTAACAGATTTGCTATATACTGTTATCTATGATTTTGAAATGAAAGAAATCTATGATTTTAAGTTACATATTCCGAATTGTGCTTTTGTTTCTTATTTTATAACGAAGAAATAAATAAATAAATGTGTTATTTGATTGAATGAAAAGCATAATGTCTTTAAAATTGTTACTTTGTGTTTATATATGTCACATGTATTCAGAGCCAGACAAACAAATCGTCGTAAAGGTATTGAGTTAATAAAAATGGGACAATATGCTGAAGGAAGAAATTTATTAAGAAGGTCTTTAGATATTACACACGAAATTGCATTAGAATTAATTAAACAATGCCAGAAAATGAATATAGACTGTATTGTAGCACCTTATGAGGCAGATGCACAATTAGCATATTTGAACATCAGTGGAATTGCTGATGTTGTTATTACTGAAGATAGTGATTTAACATTATTCGGTTGTAAAAAGGTTTGTATAACTTAATTTGAAAATGTATCTAAATTGTAAATGTATTTTCATAGTTTATATAATTGTTTTTCCTGATTCCTTTACATATTACAGGTATTTTTTAAAATGGATGTAAATGGAAATGGTCTTTTAGTTGACCAAGAACGTTTACATCTTGCAATGGATCTGCAAGCTGAACATTTCAGTATGGAGAATTTCCGTTATATGTGTATTTTGTCAGGCTGTGATTATCTACCTTCTCTCCCTGGTATTGGGTTGATTAAGGCAAAAAAGTTCATTATGAGAAATACAGATTGTGATATACATAGGGTAAGCATATTTAAATTGTTTTTTTTTATAAATATTTTAAATACTCAATGAGGTTTTGTATATAAATTAAGTACATTCTTTCTCATAGGCTTTAACTCGTTTGGGATCTTACCTAAATATGAAATCCTTAGTTGTTACGAAAGAATATAGAGATGCATTTATGTTAGCAGATATTACCTTTAAACACCAGTTAGTATTTTGCCCTTTACAAAGAAAACAAGTTCGTTTACATCCACCTTTGTCTGATGTGACAGAGGAACAATTATATTATGCTGGTACAGAAACAGATTCAGATACTGCATTACAACTTGCCTTGGGAAATTGTGATCCTTTTTCTTTACAAATACTTCATGACTTTGATCCTGATAAAACAATGGTAAGGACTTATTACAATACATTTATCATGAAAATATGTAACTAATATAAATTAATATTTTATCTAATATATATATATTTTTTTTTATTCCCCTGTTATAAACTGAATGACAGTACATGTATAAACATTACTCATCTAGTTATATGAACTTTATTCTAATCCTGACTTTTTAGAGCCAAGATAAATGTAATACATGGGGCCATAAATCAATTTATTCTCAACATATTAGCATTTGGGCAAAACACTATAAATTAACAAAAAGTTTGTTACAAGGATCTCCTCGAGATAAGAATCTTATGACTTGGCCAAACACTGTTGGTAAAGAGATGGTTCTCCAAACAAATCTCTTAAAACGAGCTATTTTCGTGGAACAGGAGGCTAATCCTGGTAAGTTGCACCCGTATATAACCACATAATGCATAATATAACAACTTAGTATAATCGCATAAAAATGATTACAGAGTATACAGAACTGAATGGAAAAGAAATTTTAAATATGTACGAATCAAATGAGAATGAGATTGAAAATAATTTCAAAACAGATGTATCTACCACTGAAGAAATAGTATCTCCTGTTTTAATCAGACGAACAAATCCATTTTCACAACAACCATCTTCTGATAAAACTTCTCCAAGTCTTTTGTCTAAAGGTAAAAGTCGTATAAAAGGAAGAAATATACGGCGTGTTAGAAGAACAGTTATAAATGAAGACATTATTACAGAAAGTAAATTCTTTGCTAAATCAAGCGTTGAAAGTAACGTTGAAACGGACGATGATAGGTTGTCTTCATCGAATAATTCAAATATTTCACAAAAAAAAGAAAACATGAATTTTCAGAAAACAAATTCAACGAACAACGTTAACCTTCAGTCCTTAATGGAAACTGACGAAATGGAAAGAGAATCACATTCCATGGATGTAGATGAAGAGCATACTACGTCATTTGCCTCAAATCAGCGTAATGATGACGACTGTTTAAATAGTTTCTCGAACTGTAATTTAGAAAAATCATATTCAGATGTTCAAGTAAATGAGTCTGTCTTAAACAAAGATAATGAACAATCATATACTTTAAGCGATTCAGTGATGCCATTAAAACCTACTATAGATACTGAGTTTTTAATTCCACAAGAAGATATAAGTACTTTAAGTAGTAGTTTCTTTACAGGGTCTAATACAAATTTGTCCGTGCAATTAAACAACAGAATTACACATAGTAAAAGGAAAAATTCGTCAAATTTTAGAGTAAGTATTATTACTGTATCACATAGTTCTATGTAATATATTTCCTGAAATTAAATATCTACGATTCAAGACAAACATGTAACATGTGTTAACCTATTTTTTAGGCTGTAAATAGTAAAGCAAACATAACAAGTACTAGACGTAAAAGTCAAGACCTGTGTTCAGTACAAAGACAACAAAGTTTATTGAGCATGTATGGATTCGAGAAGAAAAGTAAGCACAATATATTAAAATTTACAAGTCGTTTACATTTATATACTTAACAACTCTATACAGTAATTTTTAATTCCTGTAAATCTACAAGAATGTCATTTACTTACAGAACCAATTTGAGAAGTATTTTGTAGATGAAGATTATGTTATATGAAAGACGTGTGCTGTGCTACGTTTATGAAATAATTATTAAGCTACACAGGATTATTCATAAAAACAGTATGAAGATAGAAAATGTGTATAAACACAATTGACCTGAGTCTCATGTATTACAATTAAAACGTGCGAACACATTTGTTCTAGTTATTATAATTTTATACATCAGATATATATACATTTATTGTTACGGGTTAACTTACAAGGAGAATAAAATTCGTTTTTTACTATAACTTATAAAGTACTCAAAAGCTCTCAATTCTTTGTACTGTCTTTTTCATCCCATGGTCTTGGTATTCGGACATTTTCCCAGTTATCAATATTTAGTTTCTGAAAAAGTTTTATATTAATATTTTAAACATTATAACTTTTAAGTTATTTTTTATTACCATTATATTCAACAATAATTTAATTTTTATATTCTGTTTATTTTTTTACATCAAGATATATTTAATTACAAACTATCATTTTTAATAACACATTTTTATTACAAATATGTCAATTGCATATGTTAATAATGATCACTTTTTATATAAAATGTATAATTCACGTTTAATTAATATACATGTTATTAATATAAATTATCATATAATATGTATTATTACATAAAATTTTAAAGTAACACATTTCAGATTTATAAAACCGTGGTTCTTGTACAGGATGTCAAGAAATTACATGTCATACCATTGGTGGAAATACAGGTAAAAACGTTGCCACAAAATTGACCTTGACCTTGGATTTGAAGGTCAAATATTTTATCATTGCATTACACACTACTCACTGTGAGGATAAAAAGTCTGAGAGGAATCATGGGTTGGAACTGAACGGTTCTCTTGAAAAATGATGTTAAATTTTCATTCATTTTTAAACTGATTTCGTTTATAATATATTGAATCTCGCAGTCTGATGGAACTCAGATATCATGCTATTGGCGAAGAAGCAGGAATTTTACATCGTTAACTTTATCTTTCATTCGAAGGCTTCGAATAACTCGGCAGCGTGTTTATTCGAGATGCCGAACGCTGTGCGTCAACGACCCGGAGTCCACACTGGACATTTAAAGAATTGAAATAATGTTATGCAATGCCTCGTCGAGGAAAGCGCAGTATTTTTTGGCTCAGATGCGAGATCGATAGTTAAATAACTAATTTCTAAAAACAATAATTTGGTCATGAATGGGTTAGGTGAGCCGTTAGGGACCTGCAAGGTACGACGCACTTCTCGACGAGGCTCGAATGGGGTTCATCAGAGTGTCATACACATGCATTGTTTCACTTTAAATGCCCAGTGTCGAACCCAGGTCTCGCGCAAGAACGCGCTGCCGAAAGTTATTTGAAGTTTTATAAAATAAAGTTAAATATGAAAAATCCTTGCTGCTTCACCAATAGCATGATATCTGAGTTCTATTAGGCTGCGAGATTGAATACTTTAGAAACAAAATCAGTTTAAAAATGAATGAAACTTTAACATTATTTTTAAAGAGAACCGCCGAGCTCCAACCCATGGTTCCTTTTAGATTTGTTATCCCCACGAGTAGTATGTAACGCAATAAAAAAAAATGTTGACCTTGATATTCAAGGTCAACGTCAATTTTGCGGCACCGTTCTTACCTCAATCTCCACCAAACGAAAGGTGTAGAATCCGGCTATAGTAGCCGCGACATGTAATTTCTTGACACCCTGTACATACGTTTAATTTTTTAAATCAAGTTTACTTACTTTCATTGTGTTTTCATATTCTTCTTCTAAACTAGCAGATTTTTTCACTTCAATACCCTTTTCTTGAAAATCTTTTTTTATATCATATGAGACTACTGATCTGAATTTGTATCTACGCAAATTAAAATCCATTTGTATCTTTTACAATTAGTGGAAACAATACAACATGGTTGTAAGATAAACCTTTGACAGACAGATCCTACTGATAATGCACAAGATGAAGCTATATACATTACTCTGTTATTACTTCAAAAAAGTAATATTAGTATTGTATTGTAATTCCTTTGCTAATAGGAAAATGACAAATTTTAATTAACATTTACAATGTTGAAGTTATTTGATGATCAAATAACCATTGACATTAAATTACACAAAACAAAAATACATTAAAGCAAAAGTTAGATAGTCTGTACAATCCTGAATAAAGTTCAAGATAGTTCAAACCTCATATTTCTGTCAATTCTTTGATTCCAGTGTCTCAAACATATTTACTTTACATTTTGGTTGACTTAACGATCATGGTTCCACCAACTTTGTCTCAATTATGTATAAAGTGTAAAGTAAAATAAATAGTAATACTGCATACCTTACGTCTGCAAATTCACGTAATAGAAATGATCCTCCCACAATAAGTATCATAAATGGCAAGAAATGTCGCATTGTTTTTCTTGATAAAAACGGTGCCATCGTACTAAAAATGATGTATCTATGTGAATAAATAGGTACGTGCCGATGTATATATACACACAATAAAATATAAGGTTAAGCCTCTATATAATATTTGTTTCTACATATACTGTATTTAGAAGTTTTTATATAAATTTAAGAATTCCTTATTTCTAAAATTGAAAATAGTTATCGAATTAACAAGAGTACGTATATTTTAACATAAAAATCGTTCACTGCAAATCTTATCAGGTTATAGGGGTTATAGGTATTCCTTTCATTGCCTCCAACTGCATCCCATTCAAACTTCAGTAATAATTGGTACCAATTCAACCTGTACAGATCTAAGTAGTACGCAGAAATGTTGAAATAATAACATTTACAACTATTTTAATTTTATATATTACTGTTAACATTAGTAAGTGTCAGTCATTAATACATGGAAGTAGCTCAAATAGTGTTGAATAAGCGAGATGACTTTAGCTGTAAACTTTAATACAGGTTAAGTTGATATAGACGAATTTTATTTGTTTTGATCAGGAAATTATTTTTACAAAAAGTGAAAAGAACTTCAAAATGAATATATTGCCAGGAACAGCGTCTCTTCTTGAAGAACTTGACAGTAGGTATTTGTATCACAGACATGCTATTTGTAGGTTATGCCGGTACGTTATTATGTTCTTTATATTCCATATATTCATTATTAATATTGAATTAAAAATTTCGACTTATTTATACACAAAAATATAAGGCAATGAGCCATGAACTCGTAAGAATATTGTTTATAAAAAAGACATTTTCATTGGTAATACACAGATTGTGTCTGTTGATGAAAATATAGATTTTTATGAATTAATTTGTAGAAACTGAAATCAAACAGAAGTTTGTTTATTGTATTAAGGATTTCATGTATTTCTAAATACTATAGAAATCTCATTTAACTTGTTTCAATGTTTTATTGTATTGAGTTTTAGATAAACATATTTGTTCCAAATGCATAAAATTGATAGTCCAATAATGCTCTTGCTATATGATGCTTATTTACATGTTCTTAGTATACTCTCTAAAAGTATGTGTAATAGTTTAATCAAATTGAATTATTTAAACATGATAAATAATATACGTACCATTTGGTTTTAGAAAAACTTATGGTTTTATTAAGAGATGGTAGAACCTTAATTGGATACCTTAGAAGTGTTGATCAATTTGCTAATATAGTCCTTCATCGCACAATTGAAAGAATTCATGTTGGTAAGGAATATGGAGACATCCCACGAGGAATTTTTATTGTGAGAGGAGAAAATGTGGTACTTCTAGGAGAAATAGTAATGTCTCTAATTATATTGTTTAATATTTTACAAAGTATTATATTTTCATTGAAATAATTCAATTTTATTATAGGACAGGGAAAAAGAAAAGGATTTACCTCTAACTGAAGTATCTGTAGATGATATTTTAGACGCACAAAGACGAGAGCAAGAATTAAAGCAAGATCGAAAGCGACTAGTAAACAATGCTTTGAAGGAGCGAGGTTTGTCATACATTCCAGATATGGGTCACGATGATATGTTCTGACACACATCTGCATCTTTGACTAAAACTACTTCATCATCCACATCTTCCCATCATTCTAAAGGTTATGATAGATGTTATACATCGCTTTCTGTTTGGAACTATATAATGGTAAGAATTTACAAAGTGTAAGTTCATTGTGGTATGGTGAACATAGAAATAATCATTAATAATATGGTTCAATTTCCTTAAAAAACTATGATACTAAACCACAAATTGATGTGTACGTTTAAATAATTATCATTAATATTAGTAATGAGGATTTATACAGTTTTAGTTATATTAAATCTTGCATTTAGTGTGGAGAATCGTCACACTATAATTGTATCATATTTTTAAGATCTTCTAACTTTTCTGCTATATACAAGTATTATATTTAAATAAAAATCTATTCTAACCAGTACATGGTCTTTTTGTCATTTATATTAAACACATAAACAAATGTGCTAATGATATTTCCAAATTTGTAACAATTGTACATTTTTTTGTGATTAGTTGTGTGTGATTTTGTATAAATAATTTGTCTCTCCAAAATCTTGTATCTTAAACTGGGAGTATGCATGGATAGCACAAGCAGTAACAAAAAGTTGGTTTTATATACAAAATATTGCATGTAGTAATTTACAAAATATTTGGTCTGTGTATTTCATACTTAATAAATACAGGAACAAAGATTACAGAGTATATGGAATGAAAGTATTAACTACAATTTCATTGTTTACCAACAAAAGTTCTTTTTCTTTAAATTATAGAATGCTATTATTGAAGGATAAAACATTTGAACAAAATGTATGTTATTTTGATTTAAAAAAAATACTTTTTAAATGCTTGTAGATATCTACTACTGTACAGGGATGAATGAGAATAAGTATGGAAGTAGACCTCCCTTGACTGTTTATGCACGGCACAATAAAATACAGTAAAGCCTCCGTGAATGTTTGGAAAGATCTCTGCACTAAATGGTTCTACTTTATTCCCACTAGTGTCAAGCGAGAAGAATAACTGTTCCAAACCGGTTCCGAGTTTTGAGCATTAAGGGAATCTTTACTGTATGAAGAATAACATTTTGATTGTTTTTCTTTTATCTTATTTATAATATTTCTAATTGATTTGCTAAATGGTCCAGATTATATAATTCTGTTCTTTACTTTCCCAATTCAAAAATGCTGGTTCATTAGTAGAGGAGGCATTAGTTTTGGTAAATTGAACATTAAACTGTTCCTATTAATAACCAGATAGCTCTGTATAGAACTGATTTTACGATGTTGACAATAATTTAGTAACTAATTTTTATAATGAAACTTTTTCAAGAATTGCACTTGCAATCGAATGTGCTTTGGTTCATTCTTGGACCAAAGAAGTAATTGTTTGAACATTGTTTCTATATCCAAGAACTCATCATCCAAGAACGAATCATTTTCAAGAGAGAGCTGTGAGCTTCCTTCCTTTTCGATATTTTCCTCATTATCCTCAAGAATTTCTTCTTCCATCTCTGCACATATGGATAACCACTCTTCCACTTCACTAAGGGCAATGTTTCCACCCACTATTGCTTGAATGCTCTCTTGTAATTTACAGCTAGTGGACTCTTCCATATCATTTGTATCAGATATCGGACCCTTCTCAGGAACTTGTTGCAACAATTTACACCACGCATTTTTAATACTGTATGGTGTAATACTCATCCATGTTTGATTTATAAGTTCAATACTTTCCTTCAGGTCATATTCAACGAAAAATTGATACACTCCACCAGGCTTGCTTAAAATCAGTTGTAACATTCTATATCGAAAACTGCTTTTTGTATTTCGAATTATGCCCTGATTCATGGGTTGTACAAGTGATGATGCATTCTGTGGCAAAAACATAACATGGAATCTCTCGTCCTGGAAAACATCTGTTGGAAGATTGTGCACTTTGCAATCATCAACAATCAAAAGGACTGAACCACATGTGCCATTCTCTAACTGATGCTTTTTAACAGAAGGTTTAAAATCATTCTCGTACCAATCTAAAAATAATATTCTATTCATACAAGCATTTGGTTGTGATTTGAACACAACAGGCAAACGATTTTTGCAATGCTTTAATGCTCTTGGGGATGCATACTTATTAATTATTAGCAGAGGAAGTTTATGGCTGCCACTGGCATTGGAGCAGAGTCCCATTGTGAAACAATATTTCCTTAATAATTTACCGTCAACCTTTTTCACATTCAGATGATCTAATGTTCTTTTAGGAAGAGACTTCCATGCCAATCCTGTTTCGTCCATGTTATACAGATTGTCAAGGTCAATGTCTCGCTCATACATAATATTCTTTAAATCCTCTATAAATTTTAAGGCTACTTTTTCGTCACTTTCATGAGTATGTATATTATTAATTTTATAACGAATCTTGAAACAAGTCAACCAATTTTCACTTGCTCTAAATGTTATTGGACCTCCCAATTCTTTATTAATATTTGTTGCTTCTTCACGAAGCAAGCGATTGCTGATAGGATCATCCATTGTTCTCTTTTCCAAGAACCAAGTATACAACCGACCTTCTAACTCCTTATTTATTGGTCTTCGCATTCTCTTCTTGTTAGAAGATCTTGCTTGTTCTGTGTAACGGTGTAGCTGTCTTGCATCATATTTAACTTTACGGATAGTGCCTACATGCACATTGTAAAAAGAAGACACTTGCTTTGCTGTAGCACCGTCTTCCAAGTGTTTAAGAATCTCTAGTCGCTGTTTTACAGTCAGTTTGTGTCTTTTACTACCTGACATTATTTGTAATGTTCTACAGTATTGTACGAAACGACCTATTCTTTTCTTTCTTAGTTTCTTTTCAGTATTTTTTGGTATTTCTCAAAATTTTCCCACATAATTGGCATTGAATATATTTGCTCATGATACTGATCATTCCTCCTTTATTTTACGTTTGTACTATAAATATATTGATTTAAATGTATACACTGAAGTCAACTGAAGTATTGAACTCTACACACTGCTACACAATAGTCTAGTACACACTGACCACCCTAGTAGTGTGACAGTACACGGGGGTACATCTCACAGGTTTTTCTTGGTCAATTTGCAGCGCTATAGGTGATACAGGCCAGTACTAAAACGAGTGCCGGAAATCCGGGACGCGTTTGAATTTCGGAACGATTTATAATAGACAAGACAGTGAATGACTGGCGGCCACTGTATGAGATCGTGTATGCTAAATTTGAGTTATAATATAATTGATATTAGGTGTTTGCAATTTTAAATATGTTTATTAAATTTATTACATAACATACATACAGCATGCAATAAATTTAGTAAATATTGATAAATATCCCTCCAACGCCAACATGTGTTTTATCCGCCGATTACATAGCACTACACAGAAGTAAACGTTATGTGTAAGAAAATGTGACATTAGCGCCATTAGTGACGAGGGCCAGATTTCCAGAAATATTGCAATATCTCATTAAATATAAACGGTGCGATGGGACCAATTTCAAATTCGGAAAGAGCAAACCGGGAATAATTTTTTAAGATATAAATTGTTGAGAAATATTGTGAAGTCATGAATTGCTAAGTGTTAAGTGCTCAAAATGAACGTCGTTAGTCTCAAATTACTCCTGACAATCCCGTACATTGAACCAATATCCCAGAAACCCATAATCAGGAGAATTATTTCTGTCAACACTACAAATGTACATAAAAACACTGGTAACAAAAATTTGTCTAATTATGGGGTTCTGCTGTATTCAGTCAACGCATTGAATTATATGAAATAATTTAAGACTAGCAACCTTAACTTTGAGCGCTTAATTACTGAGATATTCGCATTTTTCCATCACTAGGAATTTTCACTCACCTGTCGGTATGATTTGGCTAACAGTTTGAGCGAATTGCCACGGGTGGCGCCACCGGTCAAAAAATAGTGGTATTCCGCGATTAAATGCGATTTTAACAGTATTCTGGTCGTTTATTGTTATTGTCAATAGCAGTGCATTAATCTACGTTCTTTCAGCTACAAATCGAGTGCTTTATCTAGACGAAAGCTATCCGTATAACGGGGTAAGGGCTGTCCAAAGTGAACTAAACGGGGTACGCATGACGAGATACAGTGTCAACCGTTGCAAATAAATGTGATTTTAACAACGTTTTTGTAATTACTGGGTCACAGCCGCAGGAAAGTACGAATCTACGTTCTTAGAACTTCGAATTTAATGCGTCACGAGGAAAAATGATGCCCGTTCAGCGATGTAAATGCGATCGAACTCTGTTGCAATTAGGGTTGCCACTCCATAAGGGGCTGCGGTAATACAGGCATAAATAATTTTACTAATTCTGAGGTTCTGCACTATTGGGTCCATGCATTAAGTCCTGAGGAACAATCTGAGACTAATGACGTTCATTTTAAGCGCTTAATTACTGAGATATTCGCATTTTTCCATCACTAGGAATTTTCACTCACCTGTCGGTATGATTTGGCTAACAGTTTGAGCGAATTGCCACGGGTGGCGCCACCGGTCAAACAATAGTGGTATTCTACGATTAAATGCGATTTTAACAGTGTTCTGGTCGTTTATTGTTATTGTCAATGGCAGAGTATTATTCTACGTTCTTTAAACTTCGAATTTAATGCGTGACGAAGAAAAATAATGCCCTTTCTCACAAGTACTAGTTTCTAATTTCGTTCATGAAAATACAAATTCCAAAATCGTCTCGCGCCACACGTCTAGGGCAATTCTCTCCTGAACTTACGCACAAAACGTAATTAAAATCATTTAAATAAAATAATTAATATTTCATATTTCTCATAAATACTAAGACGGGGTTGTTGTTTAATAATTTATGATAAAATACAAATTATTCATTTATAAAACTTCATCTTAAATGTTTGAATGAAATAATTTCTCGCGAATTGAGTAATGAACAAACTCGCAGCCAATTAGCTCATATTATTTGCTATATAACTCGTCGACTCATAGATGATTATGACTGTCAATTATATGCCAAATAATAATGATTGCCCAGGTCTCACCACGTGGAGGTTGCTGCGAATGGAGACCCACCATCCATCGCGCCTACACCGCCCCACCCTTTGTGCTTTTTGCAACATTTTCCCCCATCGAATCTAGTTGTTGATTTAATCGAAGCAGCCCCCAAGATCTTTATATGAAGAGAACTCGTCACGTGAACTTCATATTAGATAAGAGAAATCTTCGTATGAAGTTCATGTGAAGCGTGAACTCATCATATGTGATCATCAGATGAAGGGTTGTCTTCATACGATGCTTTCTGAAACAGACCCTGAAAGATTAGAACGAGACACATTATTATTGGTCTTCATATGCGATGTCTTCATACAATGATTTCTGAAACAGACCCTGAAAGGTTAGAACGAGACACATTATTATTGATCTTCATATGTGATGTCTTTATACGATGATTTCTGAAACAGACCCTGAAAGATTAAAACGAGACATTATTATTAGGTGTGGATACTTCAGTTTGAAGTTTGAATCCACGATGATTCCTGAAACAGAAAGTCAAAGAAATTTGATAATACGGCGATCCCTGAAACAGAAGTTCAAAGGATCACAACAAAACATGTTAATGGACATTTCATTATGCATAATTTTAAATAATAATTGCAATAACAATTTCAATAATAACATGTAATAAGCATAAAAGTATATCGATATATTTTTATACATATTTTGGTTCTATAATAGATATTCAAAGTATATATCACAATAAAACATGGTTACGAACATTTCATTTTGCATAAATTTCAATAAAAATTTCATAACAACATATACATAATAAGAATACATAATATAATAACATGGTTTTGTAGACATTTTATTTCGGCCGAGTAGAAATTTAATCCCACGACGATACCTAATTTGAAACAGAAAATTCAATGTATTATCTTCTCATGTTGACAAACTTGTGTTCATTGTAGGAATTTATGTAGATAATCTGAAACAGACTAATTCATTGAGTAAGAAGCTGAAAAGGAAACGGGTTAGTACACACAAAATATTAAGAATATGTCTTTACTATTGAAAAAAATGAATTTATTAGAACGGTAGACTCTACTATTAATCAATTGAATTTAAGCAAGAAATGAATTTAAGCAAAAAATGAATTTCAGCAAAAAATGAATTGTCTCTGTGCAAAGATGAAACAAGAATAGATTTTATCGCGACTCTGTTAGTTCATTTGTGATATGCAATAATCAATATTTAACATAATAAAAACATTTAAATCGAAATAATCGTATTTTACCATATCGAAATTGAAATTATACTCGTATAGAGATAGCAATAACGAATTAACGGCGACTCTACTTGAAAAATTGCTATCAATATGAAGTATCGAATTTGCATTTGCATATTTTTTCAACTGCAAGCTTTTCATTAATTGTCAAGCTTAGCAAAAATCGCGAAGAAACTTTGATTTTTGCAGAGAAATTCCAAAAATGTACAAAAATGTACACTATTTTGATATCAATATTGTATACAAGCAACGTATTACGATTGAACAATTAATCTACTAATAGCTCTAACAACAAATAGTCATGCCTACTTCAAAAGACTCTAAACTTTAATCTCAAATTGACTTTAATTTTCATTATTCTTGTGTCAAATCTCAGTAATTAATCAAATCTTCAATCCAAATTATATAATCATCAATGTGTATGTAGCTGATATTAATGGTTCAAAAAATTACAAAAGACTGATTATGTTATTATAAAAAAAATTGAACACTTCTTTTTGATAGATAAATATTTTTTTCAGCAATATTTCCAACGCAAACACTTGGCAAATAATACAGAAATAGAAAAATAGCAGCCACAATAGGGCGCTGAATCTGTCCACTCTTTAAATTTCATTTTATTAAAAGAAGAACCCGTGAGTGGACCATTATATTTCTTTACGCAACACTAAATAATTGAATTAACATGAAAAAACTCCCGAGAGCAGCCACGTAGGGCGTTTATCACTCGCAACACTAATCATTTAATGTCAATTGATGTTCAGAAGATTCTCAAAAAACGCGAGTGGTGCTTTCTTTGCTCGCCACGCTAATTTAATAAATATAAAAATGAAAAAACTCCCGTGCACCTTCATCTCATAATACGCAACGCTAACTTTAGGTTGATGAAATCGGTGCAACCATTTTGGGCTGCGGTGAACCACTCTTTACAGCAATATAAGCTGCTGCTTTGTGGTTCTGATAGTGGTTCCAGCATAGTTTTGGGCGTTTCATGGATCGCAACACTAAGCCAAATCCGATCAATTCATCTCGCAACACTAATTCAACAAAAGACAAGAACTATATGAATCAATTAAAATTGTGATCTTTAATCCAACAAGACTTTCATTCAAATAACAAATATAAGCAATCGCGCTCAGTCATTATCGCAACACTACTCTGAAAATATAAAAATGATTTTAATACAAACACGATTTCATCATTCGCAACACTATTCTCCAAACAATTAGGAATATCAATATTAACAATTTACAGAGGCTAATGCAACCCGTGATCTAGTCTCATCCGCAACACTAATTCAAACCGCGATTTTGCCCAAAATTGCTGGTCGTTGGGCCGATACATTGGCCAAAAATACTAACTACTACAACTACAAGCGAGTACAGTGACAAAGTAGTAATGACTCCGCATCCGAAGATGCAAAGCCATTCGTTGCTGCCCTCTTCGATACACAGTTTGTGTTGGGCCACTTCTTTTCTTCGGCGGTCCACCCGAATCTGAAATCCTAAAACTGCTCGGTTGTGGACGATCAACCGAACTCGCAAGAGTCTTGTACGATCGTACCACGAGTGCAATCGAGCAGGTCGTTCGTTTCGTCGTTCCTATCCTTCCGACCGCGACCGCGACAAAACT